CATTTGGGAAACCTTTCCTTCAGGCATTAATCTGATTTAAAAAAAAAGTGTTTATTCATGTCGTCCCTGTGCAAGTGTAATCTTTTTCGATAGGTATCTTAATGTCATGGCCTTGTCTATAACATGTATGTTGAACGTCTTCGCACCGTACGTAGCCAACCGCACTAACCGCAGGTGCTGAACCTGTGCTCAGGCTCTTGCTTATAGAGTGGCCAACCAGGTTGAAAAGCAGCAGCGCAGAGCGTTTCTGACAACAGAACTCTACAACTTCTACCCAGGTTTTACAGATGCGCCATTAACCTGCGCTTGTAATGGCTAACACACACACACATGCCACAATGCATAGCAAATCGCAACAATTCTAGATTTGAAGCTTTCGTGACTGCAAGGATTCATATTCTAAGGTTTTTTCGGTAAAGTCACGTAGGTAAAAAAATTAAATTCATAAAAGTAAAATAAAAAATAAAAATCACGACGTTTCGGAGGCAACACAAGCTTCCGTCTTCAGGTGGGACCGTCACAGCACGATAGCTGTATCAAGTGAGAGGTATCGTGTTGTGACGGTTCCACCTGAAGACGGAAGCTTGTGTTGCCTCCGAAACGTCGTGATTTTTATTTTTTATTTTACTTTTATTAATTTGAATTTTTTACCTACGTGACTTTACCGAAAAAACCTTAGAATATAAATCGCAACAAATGACAGGGTTATTGCTGAAGATTAATTATTTTATCAGCGGCTAATAGAGTTTTAAGTTCAACCTGGGCCACCATTTGCCATGTCTCAAATAGGCCACGAGTAAAGCATTGCCTTCATCAATATCGCACGATGGCTGCGAGAAGGATCACTTTGCAAACGTCTGCAGTTGTGTCTCATCGCTGAGAGCTTCGTGTCAAGGTTCTCAAACACTTCATAGAGCAGCTGCCGTGAGTTACTTGCGACTACAACGGAAGATGAACTCGACGATCTGTTGCCATCTTGAGAATTCCTGATCAACAAGTCAAATTTTAATTGTGAGCTAATAAATGTACACATGAAATGACTATTCTGTTCGAGTGACGGGTCTTCAGAGTCTAGGTGGGTCTTTAATCACCCTTCGTGTTCATAAGCAGAGGTCTTCTCAGTATGCAAATCATCGCATGCAATCATGTTAATCATCTGTGGACTCTTCAGTTTTCCACAGTTATAGTGGGTTCTTCTAGACCAGGGTTCTTTAACTGGAAGCCCAAGAGCCACATGTGACCCGTGAAGGCTCTTTTTAAATCCTTTATATTAAGTTCGCTTGCTTGCTTGCGTGCTTGCTTGCTTACGACCGTGCAAATCTTTCGGTCGTTTTTTAACCCACTTCCCGTGATCCAATCGAGCTGACATTTTGCACACAGACTCGTTGTGCGAGACAATTAATGTTCGTGAAATTTTTTTTCCAAAATGTTACACTGTTTAGGGAAGAAAAAAATATGTAATTACCAATTGCTTAATACTGGCAGACAATTATCTGACCCATAGGTGGCAGCCATCTCAAGCCAGAGGACGAGAGGACTCTAGCCGCTACGCATATAAAGGATTTAGAGTGAAAAACTTTGTTTTTACGGGTTATACTTATTTAAGAATGGCCCATACAGATACAGATGAGTGAGAGAGATGAGCAAGGGGTGCATATAAGCGAGCCCAAGATAAACGAGAGACAGGTGAGAGTACTATAGACAACAGCTTTGTGAAATTAACTCAACAGAGGTCGGGAAAGGCCAGCTTCGTTGCACTTTTAAATTACATTTTAAATCAATCTGTTTTCTTAAGTCCTGTGTCAATACACTAGGCATGATTATAAGTACAATAAGTTACGTAACGTATGGAGGTTAAGGGACGCGTTTGGGCAGTGGCATCACGTGGTCGGCTTTGGACCCTGGTGCAAGGAATTAAATGGGGCCCCCTGTTCAATTTCGCCCCCCAACCCATCAACTACCCCCCCCCACCTTCATAGTTTGGCACCTGGGCTCCTCTGGCTGGTGTGTCCCGGTGCAGTTGCACCGCCTGCACACTTTGATATATCCGGTACTGCCCGCTGTGGCTGCCGGGATTTTAGCTTTTAGATAAAAAGGAACATGAGCTTCATCCTTTAAAATATAGCTTTTAAAAATAATAAAGGCACCAGTGCACTGTTATCAAAGACATTTAAATATTAACAGTATTCCAAGTATTAACATAAAATTCAAGGCATGTACGAAAACGTGTGCAATTATTCTCGAAACGACTCATTAAAAAAATAATTTACAAACACGTGTGTGTGTATTTGTCCTCAACAGCCACTCGGATTTTTTATTTTCAGTTTTACTACTTTTAATCCAAATATAAGGCCGTCTTTAGCCAAATTTTTGTACGACAAATTGTATATGTTGTCGATGGCATTTTGGAAAGTACAAACAAAAATATGAAATGCCTGTTGACGGCGTTTAAATTATGTGCGGCACCACAAAGACATTTATGAGGCATCCGCTTTGAGGCAGGGACCTCTACATAGCTGGACAGAGTCGTGAGGTCATCCTTGTCGCCGACCGAGTCTACGAGGAAAAGGTTGGGGTGCTGTGGCACGGCCTGTTCGCCACGTGGCCACCCTGTCCTTGTCTGGACGCCCTGCCTCAAGAGACTGTCTTCTCGGCATCTCCTCAACGACCAGGAGTTTGCTCTCTCGGCTACCCTGTCGAGCCAGCCCCGCTCAATGCAGTTTACACCGAGTCCACGCCGGAAGCATTATTATTGGGAATGTAAAAGTTTAAATTCCTTGACTGAGTTGCGACCGAGTGAGACGGGAGACACAGATCCACACAGAGAGTCCCAGGGAGATACCAAACGCCACAGGGAGACACAGAGACAAACATGGACACAAGGAGACAGGGTGCCAGTGGTCCTGGTAACAGTAATACACGAGTCATAGAGGCCAGTGGCTCTGTGAGCCCCCAGGATTTGAAGTCCAACCCGAGTTATCTTGTGATCGTGATCTGGAGTCCCAGTGTGAAAATGAACCAGAGAAACACAGTTAGAAGTTTAACGCTGCTTAAGCTTGCAACCATGATCTAGTGCAGTGGTTCTTAACCTTTATTGCAGCCTTGCATCCTTTTGGTTCTCAATCGTAAAAAAAATTATGTCAATAAATTTTTGATGAAACAAAGTAGTACTTACGTGCCTGTGCTTAATTTGCTTTGATAATTTACCTTCCAAAAAAAATGTGGCCACGTCTAGCACCCCAAGAAAGAACCACTGATCTAGTGGGACAGGAAGCAGGGAATCGCAGGCATTATTACAAAGCGGCGTATCGCTTCGACCCAGTTGGGACTGGGGACTGGGACGCCCAGGTATGTAAATGCAGAGCAACCTTTCACTTGCTAACATTTTAGCATAATAGCATACCCTCGGCTGGTAATATCAGGTTGACAGGCGCTTTGCCACTGCGTGCTCCCGGTGGCTTTCAGTCATGTGTCAAGGTCCCAACGCGGCGATTCACCTTAGGCGGCGATCGTATTGGCGCTTGCTGCCCCGGTCCCCGGCTCAACCCTCTACCGACCCTTATGTGCCGACAACAACACGACTCACCTTGGCAGAGTCCATCTTCCTTTGCTTCCACAAATCTATGACCTGCTCCTGTGCGGAGTTCACGGCAATCGTGCACCCAGGCCGTTTCTGCATGAGCAATGCCCTTGTACTCACGACCTGTACTCCTTGGCAACTCGTGTTCTCTCCAGAGCAAGGACCCAAGACTGGAACTCTGTGGACTGGCGTGGCAGGTGCATACAAATATCCATGTTGCTATAGTGCACCTTGCAATTAATGATTAGGAATTCGCAACTGACACTTAACAAATTTAGCCGTGGCTTTTAGTATTAACGAGATGTTATTTGTAGCCAATATTAGTCTCCGTATTTCATCCTGGGTGAGTGCCAGAAAGACTGTGTGAGTGGATAAGGTGGAATAGAAGGGTTAGACTTACACCTCCATCTCAATCACAACTATTAAGTATGCAGCATTGCACTGAAACTACTTTCATATCCTGAAAGGTTACATTGGTAGTAAACCTCAGTAAAGTTGGGGTGTCGCGGTGGCGAGACATTAACTTCCTCGCCTACTATACAGGAGGTTGTGGGTTTGATCCCAACCCTGACGCCTGTATATTTGGAGTTTGCATGTTCTCCCCGTGATTGCGTGGATTTTTCTCCAGGACCCTCCAGTCTTTCCCTCCAAATTTATAAACATGTCTTTCAAGGCCGTAGCCATGGAGTCAATATTCGGTGGGACCAAATCTTCCAAGGGGGTCTGGGAGTCCCAACCCAGAAAAATATCTAAAATATAAAAAAATTCACTAACACATGGGATGGACTTTTTTTTTTACAATAACGTCTAATAGTGTATTGTATTACATTGCTCTGTTTTTACTTGTTTACCATTTCTTGTTTCATTGTATGTAATGTTTGAGATTAGGGATTAATAAAGTACAACCATAACCACAATCATATAAACAGCAATCTATGCATTGATTTATATGAAGACAAGTCCAGATAGTGGCCAAGGTTAGCAATTGTTTTAATTTACATAGCATAGCAATTATTATTTTTACATTTTTATAGCAATATATTGGGGGGGACATTTTGAGCATATTTGAATATTGGGGGGGGGGGGGGTGTCCCCCCCCCCCAATAATTATTATAATTATGGCCTTTATGTGTTTAGAGTCTTTGGCTGCTATATATTTCCACATGATAAGCTTCGTTGGGAAATCATTTGTGGCCAAGTCGCTTCTGAAAAAGAGCTTTATAACTCAGTGGACCTCACCTGATCAAAAAATGTTTAGTTTTTTAATTACTGAGAAAACATGTATTTTTTTCTTTAGAGCATTCATAACAGAACACGAAGGATCACTGTCATCACCAAATAACTTAAACGTCTGGGGCTAACCGTGACACGGCAGCAAGCATCCACAACACATACTAGTAAGAGTAGATACAATATACAATAAAGAGCCAATATATCTTTATTTAAACCAGATCACCAGACATCCCTCGGAGGCACACGTGCGTGTACAAACGCACACAATCCCGTGCCGATGACAGCAAGAACAAGCGTGTTCACACCCATGTGGGCGTGCGAGTATGTGTACACGCTCGTGTGCGAGTATGCATAAGTTGTTTAATATTTAAAGCAAAGGTCGTTATTCAGTGACTGTCGCGGCACTGCTGGCATCGTCCTGAAGAGACAAAACCAACATCACCGATTAAACACAAACATCATTACTTATCGAACAAAATCCATCACTGATTTATGATTTTACTTTCTTACGCTTGTTTACCCACGAAAGCCTCGCTTAGTCTCGTGATTTTTCACAAGGGTTCTGCTATGCTTTGCATAGGCTTGTGTGTACTCATGTGCCCGTGTGCGCATCTATTTGTGCGGCCATGTGTGTGTCTACTCATGGACTTGCCAGCGACAGAAACCAGTGGAGTCTCAAGATTTTCCTCTGTGGAATAGGGATTGTGAAAGGTGTGACAGCAACAAAGGATGGAAGAAGAGCAATGTTCACAACAACGAGCAAAGTGCCAGGTGGTTAAAAAAGCAAGTTGGCAAAATGAAAAGAATAGGTGGTATGCATCTGTTAAGCCATAACACCTAGGTCTGCCTAGGTGTTATGGGTTAACACCTCGGCAGGCCAGCGAGCCTTTGACACTTCATGTGGAATAAAAAGAACGTGGTCACATCATCACCACTTATTGGCGAAGGGCAGTTGTTGCTGTAACTGTGTCTATGAATGTTACTATCTATGCGCCTACTCATGTGCCTGTGTATATGCGTGTGTCTATGCCCATACCTGCACGTATGCCCCGTGCACGAGGTATGGTTTCTGAAAGTCGCGCTGGCAGTTGGAGTACGCCATGCCAAACCCAGACCCTGCCCCAAACACCACTGGCCATGCCCGCCCTGTAAACATAAACACATGTAAGTACATTTACAAAGACAAAGATCCCCGAAAACAGCCTTTTACAGACTGTTCGGGCAAATGCTGTTCATGAGCATACAGTCATACCTCAGTATACGACCACTTTGGAATACGTCGAATTTGGTATACGTCGCGTTTTGAAGAGGGAAAAAATGTCTTGGGATACGACGTCTTGCTTGGGATACGACGCGCTTGCTAGAACTTGTATGGGTCGGGATGAGTCACCGCATACCCGCGTAGACCCCGTTCACGCCTCCTCCCCTTCCTCACCACCATCCTCGTGGGCTATCAACTCCTCTCAGCCAGGTAAAGTGACGTTACATTTTATTTTTATTTCAATTTATATTAATTTATTTATGCATTTATTTTAATTTATGTATGCATTTTAGTAATAAGCAGTGTCTAAAGTATTTTATACAACCCCATTAATGTATAATATTCCATATAAAATATAATTTCTTATACTCTGGAACGGATTATTTCCTTTACCTTTATTTCTTATGGGAAAATTGCGTTTGGTAGACGTCATTTTCGGTATAAGTCCTACCTTCTGGAACGAATTAACGACGTATACCGAGGTACCACTGTATATTAAATTCGACAAGCACATGAGAGGGTTGGTGGCCAAAGCCACGCCGGGCTGTCTTTGTCTCCACATTGCTGAAGTTTATACGTCGCATCAGGTACTCATTTAAGGGTGAGTCGACCTCCGAGAGGCCCAGGACCAGTTCTGATAATTGTCACTGGCGTTGGCCGTGAGCAAGAATTTGAACTCGGGTCGCCGGGTTCATAGCACAGCACGCTAACTGCTACACTACCGCATAACAAACACACATACTAAAGAACCATTTTGCCTATTGGGACTGCTTGGACAAATGCTGTTTGTTAGCATCTATGAAAGCCAGCATGACACAAGATATTCTGTCGTGGCCATGTCCATGCTTAGCAGCATTTTATGTCCGTTGTTGATGTGCACCAACCACAACAGGTTCTAATTTAAGGCTCGGCTAAGCTTGCGGAGACCCAGGACTGCTCAAGATATCACTTGGCAGTTATTAGCCATAAACTCAGAAAGCCAAATTTGTCACACAGCGTGTTTTCCACTGTGTCTTCACTCCTCGTGGCCTTAATATTGGCTTATTAATCAGTTGACGATGGGTCATGAGCTGTGCGTAGGCCTCGGCAAGGTAAGGTAAAAGTTAAAATGTAAAAAACAAGCCTACCTTTACCTTACCTTTTACCTTACGACAATACAATCACTCTACCCTACCTTTTACCCTTTAGCAGGTAAGGTAAAAGGTAAAAAGCAACGAGCCTACCTTTACCCTACCCTTTACCCAATACAAATTACCCGATTACAGGGTAATTACTGGGGTACTACTACACATGAAAAAGGTTTATAACGGTAAATGCTAGGCAGAGCGCTTTATTCATATAGAATACTCTCGATTCCAATTTTACACGCTTTCTTTGAACTCACTCTGTCTGTTGTTGTTGTCGTTGTTGTCGTTGTTGTATCCTCAAATCTTGTAACTCAATTTTAACCCACTTCCCAATATGGTATAGACTGCAAACTTGATATACTTATGTCATACTGATGACAACACTATGTTCTATCATAAAAATATCTGTTTTTAAACATTCTTTTTTATATGTTATGTTTCGGCTTGGGTCTAATAGTCCACAGTCAGCTGACGTTGGCTGTAATTGGCCACGGTCCCTTACGTTATGGCAAGCTTCGGGGCCACTTCCTGGAGTCGTGGAGTTCTGCCATTACTCGTACATTTCATAAAGGCGTGTTTGTAAAAAAGTTTTTTTAAAAATATTACTTATTAAATGGAGGCCACGGACTGCGCCACGGAGCTTTTAGCGGTGAACAAGGTACCATATTTACCGGGTAATACTTCGAGCTACCTTTACCCTACCCTTTACCTTACCCCTTGGCATGTCGACACCTTTACCCTTTTACCCGGTAAAAAGGGTAAATTACCTTGCCTTGCCGAGGCCTAGCTGTGCGTGATAGGTGATATTGGATAGTGATGACTGATGTTGGATGACAATGGTATGGTGATGTGTTATGGTCGATAATGGGTGTGCTGATGTGTACTCACTCTTGAAGAAGATGACTGAAAACACAAGTCCCACAGCAAGACCTGCACCTGTGGATCAGATTCGAAGATGGTGTCAGTACTCACACCACAGACATTCATCCATCAATAGAACTACTATCGAGACTGTCAATACGAGCATTATCCAACATTAATAACATGAACGCAACCACCAATTGTCAAAAACACAAACACTGATCATCTACCATCAACAATAATAGCTGACAATCGCTATTAAGTGGCAGTGATGTTACCACAGAGCTTGCATGAAGCCACAGGGCAGACACAGGTTATGGGTGACATGACCGAGATGCACTATTTGCGCTCCTATGCCACCTAGCTGTATTTTAGTCACCTGGCGCTCTGTTCATTGTTGTGAGCATCGCTCATCCTCCACTGCATTTAAAACCATAAACATAACCACCAACAAAATCCATCAGCACGACTGCTGTGCCATCATCGCAATCACTAATACCTACCACAACCATCAACACAATTAGCATCAACCACAACTATCATCGACACCAACCATCACAACACTCACAGCATTAAACATCACCACCATTACTCACCACTTACTGCCATCATCATCCATACGACCACCACAATCACAACAATCGTCACAACCACCATCACCGCAACCGTTATCACCACAACCATCACCACCACCACCACCACCGCTCAACACATTCTCATCATGCCCAGTGTATGCAGCGCACATGATGGTGCGTAGTGACCTCCAGCAGTCACGGAATGGGCACTACCCGTGACTGCGCACTATAAAGACCGGCACGGCACACGAGGGGTGTGGGGTGGCCAGAACCACGCCCGACCGCCTTTGTCTCCCCAGTGGCGATGTTTACACACCGCACCAGGTACACACTTGAGGCTGAGTCGACCTAGGGGAGGAGACACAGGAACCGGTTCAGATAATCGTCACCGGTTTTGGTGGCCGTGAGCGGGAATCGAACTCGGCTCGCCGGATTCGTAGCGCGTACACAGCACGCTGTCACGTACAGTGCGCACTGTACGCCGGGGGGGGGGGCTGCGGCGTACAGTGCGGGGGGGGGACTGGGGCGTAGCTGGGGGGGGGGGGGGCTGCGGCGTACAGTGCGGGGGGGGGCTGCGGCGTACAGTGCGGGGGGGGGGCTGCGGCGTACAGTGCTGGGGGGGGCTGCGGCGTACAGTGCGGGGGGGGGGACTGGGGCGTAGCTGGGGGGGGGGGCTGCGGCGTACAGTGCGGGGGGGGGGGGACTGAGGCGTAGCTGGGGGGGGGGGGCTGCGGCGTACAGTGCGGGGGGGGGACTGGGGCGTAGCTGGGGGGGGGGGGGCTGCGGCGTACAGTGCTGGGGGGGGGGGCTGGGGCGTACAGTGCGTTACGTGCAGTAGCCCGACTCGGGGGCACATTGAGCGGCGTACAGTGGCCCACGTACAGTGACCACGTACAGTGGCCCCCGTGGAACCCAACGAGTTCAAAATCACCCGCCGTGCGCACAGTGCGGCTGGCAATGGGCAACTCGAGACTCGCGTTGACCTTGGGCGCAGAGGCCGCGCGCGGACGGGTTTCACCTCCATAGCGACAGCGGTTTCATCACCACCATCACCACAACAACCACCACAACCATCACCACCATCACCACAACCACCACAACAACCACCACAACCACCACCATCACCACCACAACCATCACCACCATCACCACAACCATCACCACAACCACCATCATCACCACCACCACCACAACCAGTCACTTGCACCACCATCACCACCATCATCACCACCACAACCATCACCACCACCATCACCACAACAACCACCATCACCACAACAACCATCACAACCATCACCACCACAACCACCACAACAACCAACACCACCACAACCACCACAACAACCAACACAACCATCACCACCACCATCACCACAACCACCACAACAACCACCATCACCACAACAACCATCACCACCACCATCACCACAACAACCATCACAACAACCATCACCACCATCACCACAACCATCACCACAACCATCACCACCATCACCACTATCATCACCACCACCACCACAACCAGTCACTTGCACCACCATCATCATCACCACCACCACCACAACCACCACCCCCATCCTCCTCAATGACAGCCCCGCCAAAGTGTCGACTCGTTTTTGGCGGGCAAGTGGCATCCAAAAAAAAGTGCAGCGACAATTCGCGTGCGTTGTGAACTTAAAATACCGAACACGGAAAAACCCATAAACATACATGACAACCACCTTAGAATGTGCCCCTACCTTACTACAGACCTTACTGGTCACCCAGTGCCCCCTATAGACCTCAACGTTCATCCTACAAAGTCCCATCGCAAGGGAGAAACACAAACAAATCGACTTTTTATAATTGTTGGCCAGGATTGAAACGGCTGTAGCGCCGTATGGACCCTGAAAACTCAAATTCCCCCGTATCAGAATACGGGGGTTGGACACGGTATGCACCGACAGCATTTAAACATCACTGCCAGGCCGATGGCGCGCATCTTAAAGCAATGAAAAGGTTTCAAGACGTCGTTAGGTGCAATGGAAGTGCGATGTTGGGCCACGGCAAAGTGATTGTGGGCCACGGCAGATCGATTGTGGGCCATGGCAGAGTGATCGTGGGCCACGGCAGAGTAAGTGGGCCACGGCAGAGTCGATGTGGGCCACGGCAGATCGATTGTGGGCCACGGCAGATCGATATTGGGCCACGGCAGATCGATTGTGGGCCACGGCAGATCGATTGTTGGGCCACGCGCAACCCAAACCTCACACTTAGTGTGGTCGTCTCTGCGCTCCTGTCACTAGCAAAAACACGACACCAAACTCATCATCTAATCATCTCTCGTGAAGGAAGCCCCCGTCGGCCGTGGCCGGCAGACATCGACGTCGCTGCCATGCACCAGAATTAGCGTCGTGCAAGCGCACAAATGAGCCGAGCGAAAAGATAAAAATCATCTCTCACCGAATTTCACGGTGGCGTCCGACAGACATCTGTCCCACTTGCGGCCGTGTTCGTGCTCGGACATTGCCGTTGTTTGCTGCTGCTGTTGCTGTTGTTGTTGCTGCTGCTGGGGGGAAGAGAGGAAGACGATCAGGGAGACGATGGGAAGGGGAAGAGATGAGGGGAGACAAAGAGGGGACGAGTCGCCCGCTTGGGGGTCACCAAACTCCTGTCCGACCGCGTCCTCTCCCCCAACGCGAACTCACCAGAGGTGGGAGAATCGCCTTCTCGTCGATTCCAAACCCGCCAACGATTTTGTTGACGAATCGTAATCGATGTCGTTCCAACCGCTTCTAGCGAAACGGGCTTCGTGCTCTCCGGACCGCGATCCGATCCGATTCGATCCGATTCCGCGGTGCTACGTGCGGTAAGAATCGCGTACAAGCTGTAACGTTTCGATTAACGCGGGATTGTCGATTCCTGATGGGGTTTTAAAATGTTCTTAAGCTGTTGGGGATATATTGCCATGTGCTGTGATGGGTCATTGCCCGAAACGTCTACTTTTATAGATAGTTTCCTTTCAAGGTCGCACACAGTGTTAGTGACGAATGTGTTGAGGGTTTTTTAAAAATATATTTCATGTAATGTATTGTGATATACCGAATTATTGTTACTGGGGTGTCACGGTGGCAAGATGTTACCTCCCTCGCCTGGTATACAGGAGGTCGTAGGTTCGATCCTATAGGCGTCAACCCACACGGTTTACCCCATATTCTTGAACAGGGAAATTGAGTGTTCAGTTCCATACGGCGTACAGCCGTTTCAGTACGGGGCGAAAACATATTATTGTCTATTTGTTTGTGTTTCTGCCTTGTGATGGGACTTTGTAGGGCGAACGTTGAGATGTATAGGGGCACGGGGTGGCCAATGAGGTCTGAATTGGTCTGTAATACTGGTAGGAACCCACTGGTTCCACCAGCCCACAGGGGATTATTGTGTCCGTCCGTCCATCGTGCAGGGAGGGGCTGGGTGGGGAGGGTGGGGAGGGTGGGGAGGGGCTGGGTGGAGAGGGTGGGGAGGGGCTGGGTGGGGAGGGTGGGGCTGGGTGGGGAGGGTGGGGAGGGGCTGGGTGGGGAGGATGGGGAGGGACTGGGTGGGGAGGGAGGGGCTGGGTGGGGAGGGTGGGGCTGGGTGGGGAGGGTGGGGCTGGGTGGGGAGGGGCTGGGTGGGGAGGGTGGGGCTGGGTGGGGAGGGTGGGGCTGGGTGGGGAGGGGCTGGGTGGGGAGGGTGAGGAGGGGCTGGGTGGGGAGGGTGGGGCTGGGTGGGGAGGGTGAGGAGGGGCTGGGTGGGGCTGGGCGGGGAGGGGCTGGCCTCAATCCACTGCTGGGTGAGGGATGATATGGGTCGTACTGGTTGATTCACCATACTTCACCACGCTGGTCAGTGCGTGGTTGCAGGTGGAGAGCATAGAGTCCTTAATCCATGCAGTACCATGGAAGCTGTTGCACTGCCCTCTGCTGACAAAACGTAAAACTGTTGTTAAGTGTTCAGTGGTTTGGTATCAAATGTGACTCATTTAAGGGGCCATTTCACGAACGTGTAGCCGTGAATTTGAATACACAAAACGAGACCCCCTAAAACATCATCGAGCTCACGTGCCTCTTATCACAGGTATTCCCAGCTGGAATTCAACTTATATTCGGTATCATTAATTCACCGTTCAACAGGCCGATGCGTGTATCTCCTCCGTAAATGAAAAGTTAAAAGATTGTGGTCGTGCACCCAAAAATATGGACCATGCAGAAAACCACTGGCATCGATGATCCTTCAACGGAAAGGAAAACTACACGAACGCTCTATCCTAAAGCCCTCTCGTTTTGGATCACAGACCTCGACATTGTCATAATACACAATCGAGAAACCACTGTTGAATAAAGGGTTCCCTAAGCCGTCCCCAACCATCCTGGTTCTGCAATGCAATACAATCCGCCCAGCGCTTGCACACGAGTTGATTTCAAAACTCCATCTATATGCCGTGACTGGGAATGTCACTGTGTGGTGCCGGGCTTGCGAAGCCACAGCGGGATGTCTCCTAGATTTGAAGCCTCCGTGACTGCAAGGATTCATACTCTTAGTTCTTTCGGTAAAGTCACGTAGGTAAAAAATGAAATTAAATTAATAAAAATTAAACAATAAAATCACGACGTTTCGGAGGCAACACAAGTCTCCGTCATCAGGTGGGACCGTCACAGCCAGATTGGCTGCATTAAGGGGCTTGCATCTTGAATCATTGCCTCACTTGATGCAGCAAATCTGGCTGTGACGGTCCCACCTGATGACGGAGACTTGTGTTGCCTCCGAAACGTGATTTTATTGTTTTATTTTTATTAATTTTTATTTCATTTTTTACCTACGTGACTTTACCGAAAGAACGAAGAGTATGGGATGTCTCCTGTTGTGTGTAGTACCAGCCCTAGTGGGGGCTTGGGTGAGTGCTGATTAAGCACGGTGGCACCACGCACAGCGTGAGAGAGCGAGTGTCAGCCAGCTTGGGTTACATTGGCGGAATGATACTCTGGCTGACCTGGGGACATGTGACCGGATGATACTGGAGGGGGACCACCGGGGGAGGGGGCCAATGGGTGGTCACATGGTCCAAGAAGAACTCTCGAGAACCTTCGGGAAATGGCGAGAGATTGAGGTGGGCGGGGCGAGAGGCAGAGCCAGCCCCAGCCCAATATAAGGGGGGCCCTGAGTTCTTACTGTTGGAGAGGCAGGAGATCCACGTCCAGCTTGAAGAAGCCTCCAGCCACGCGGTCCGGGACCCAGCTTGTGGTCCAGACTGGGATAGCGGAACCGTGTCTAGTTCCGCCGTAGCGTGGTTAATTGGGTGACCACCACCCTGGAGTGTTGTTAATAGCTTGGAGTATGCTGCGCTAAAAGTTTAATAAAACGTGTTGCTCCCAAGACGTCTGCAACTCGGTTGGACTCACTACATATACAATGGACATCCTCTATGGGCACATTCCTTCTTTGCCTGGCCTTCGGTTGGTATCCAGATTCACCAACCACTGATCCTTTTATGGATGCATCCCACCCCAAGCCTACTTTCCTCAATCAAAATTGTATTTAACTTGCATGCTCTAAAACCCATGCATCACTCATCCTGTAATGTAATCCCAGACAATCATGTTGCATACTTCAGTTTTAGCTGCCATATTCTTAATCAATGTCCGTGTTTCTGAGTTACCATAGGTAATACCAACTTAAAAACACGTAGATATATTTGTATGTTGCTTTTCATTATCAAGTGAAGCTTTTCAAAAGCACGTTCATCCACGCTTCATTTCATCCTTTTTATCTCAGTCCACGTTCATCACCTGCCCTAGGTATATAGTTTTCCAGTGGTGTCCCTTGGACGTACCAGACAGTTATACACACAATAACACAATAATGTAAATCATTTTTATTGAAATATAAATATGACGGCACACACATCGACACATGCTCCAGAAATAAAAAATGTTCAATTGCGCCTTGGGGTGCCTATTTTGGGCAACGATATCCATTATTGCAGGTACACACGGGTGTGTGCGTGTAAGCACAAGTCAGATTTCAACTCCACATTATTGTGCAAGCAACTTTCAATGTACCTGACAACACTGCAAAGGGTTTGTTCATACATGTGATGAGATGTAGTCACAAATACATGTTACACAATGTTAGGGCAAGTGCTGTTAATGAGAATCTGAGGCTGACACCACCACTACACCAGGTGCTCAATTATAGGCAAGTAAACTTCAAATATCACTCCTTGCTGGTGTTGAGCACCACAGCCAACATGTAACCTGGGGTCATTGGGATAATTTCTTAGGATGATAACCACTCATAACTTCCCAAAGACACAAGGTTATGTCAGTGTGCAATTAGGGGCAGTGTGCGCATGCAGACATGCAGGTGGTGCGACTACACTAGGTCACATGGGCCGGAGGATCCCAGATGGCAAGCTATGCAGAGGGAACAAATTGGACAGGGGGGCTCCTTGGTTACATTGTTGGCTGTGGTGTTCAACACCGGTGACAAGCGATAGCTGAATCTCAACACACACAATCACTCACACACACAGTGTGCAATCACAGTCATTCCCATTAGCATTCACAGTGCGCACTCACTGCCACAAGTCACTCGCGTAACATTCACTCACATGCACACTCAAAAGTGTGCACTCCCACTCACTGTCATTCCTCACTCAATTACTTACAAATAACATCACACACATTCACTCCTGGCACACGCACACAGCTCAGAAAGCCAGTTTCTTGATGAGCAGGTAGACCCTGGAGTCCACCTCGAACCCGTGCAAGTTGTTGGCGTCGCCCTGCAAGCGCATGAGCAGCCCCCCAAATGACACGTAGGCAGCCCTGTGGGGGGCAGGTGGGCGGGTTGAAAGAGGGGAGCGAGGAGGCTCGATTAGTGAATCAACGTCAGAAAAACAAGCACGTTTCAAATGCAAGTTCAGAATGATCGTCGTTGCAATAATTTCACCAAATTTTAAGTCCGGCTGTTATATATTTTTTTATCAGCTATTGATTCAAATAAAGAATAGGAAAGACAACTTAATATGATATACATTAACTCCTCGAGGAGGTACTGCAGGAGTCTTGTTTACTCAAGTTCAAGTTCATTTATTAGGTATAGCCCTGTGAGCCATTCAGCTCTTGAATCGGGTGCAACCGCAACAAACAAAAAACAAAAACATGAACAAAAAAACATCTTAAAGTGAATATGTGACTAAGTGCAAACAGAAAATCCAAGAAAAGACAGCAAAAAAAAACACCGTACACCAACGCTGTGTGCAAAAATCCCAGTGGGATGCAAGTCAAACAACAGCAAATAATATGATTAACAGAGGGCTTAAAAGTATATACTGCATGCCTTCCTTTTCACTCAAAATAACTACCGGGTCGCCGTGGTTAAATCCATAGCACGTGTCAGCTAACCTGCGCAAATTTCAAGTGGAATTGCATGTAAACTGTAACTTTCAAACGAGTGAGACATTCCATAGTAATTCCGGAATGACCACAGACCAAAGAAAGAATTATTATAGGCTCTGTCTTGAAACTGAAAACCAAGGGACAGGTTTACAGCCTTGAATCAGGGCCAACAATACAATAATTTATTATTCATTAAAGCCTAAATCGTCAAAGACAATTTAGGAGAGCCCTGTACTGGCATGGTTGTCCAATGCCATTTAAAAGTGATTTGCATGCAAAGGTACTAAAGGAAAACCAGAACACCAGCAGAAAACCCATGCACATGAGGAAATAATTGTCAAAGGCCTGCGCATATATAAACAGAACAATGTCCACACATAATACAATACGTTTTGTCCAGTGTTGGCCTTCCAGAGCAACACCAAGCAAAATTAGTTAAAGAATTATATTCTGGACCGGTTTCAACCTTCGGGGTCTCATTAGTTGAATCAGGTTTGTTAAACACTGCTGGATTAACAGACTTTATCAGCAAAAGCATTATCGAAATCACGGGGCCCCAGGCAATATAAAAGAAAGTTTGGTTAAAGGTGTACATACATGGGTTCACAACCTATTTTCTGTACTGCAATTTCCTGGCCACCTCGCAGCAGCCCAACGGGTTTCTAAGACTGATAAATCGACGTGATCCACCAACTCTTATCTACAAAGTACTGACGCGTTAAGGTATGCGACGTCATATCAGGGTCAAAAAGCATGCTTCAACGAGAACTTAGGTTCCGCACTTTTCTGTAGGTGCTGCGACGTGCGATTGAGAAGGTGCGCACATGTGTGGCGTGTGCACAGGGGAGTAGCTATCGGGGTGGTGCAGGCAGTGCAACTGCACAGGCGTCCACAAGTCAAGAGGAGCATGGGGCCGGGGTTCAAAAAGCAGGAAAATTCTACAGGGCGCTCACCCTTTTCAGAATCAGAATATGTATTCGCGAGGCTACTGTGCGCACGTGTATGTCACGTGTTCGCGTGCGTGGTTGCTCACAGGCGGGTGGCAGCCTCAGTGGACGTCTCGTCGCCCTCGATGCGGTAAACCTTGCCGTACATGACGTACTCAAACTGCTCTGCCCTGCGCACAGCAGAGAACACACGCACAGTCGTCATAGGTGTTCGAGTACGAGTGTACATGCCTGTAAGTGTATGTATACACACGTACATATATGTTTGTGCACATTACACATGTAATAATTCAGATAAAATTAATTATTACACTAAAGATTAAAGTATCCATCATTTAAGTATATCCACCTCTGATATTAGCCGTGGTAAGGAATTTAACTCAAGAGGCTTTTTTGTATGTACTGTGTAAGTCTACGCGTATGCAAATGCGCTGCACATGTGCGCACACAGACCGATACGTGTGTGTAACATATACATATCCAATGTGCGCCCATGTGTACCTGGACGGCCGGTCGTCTGAGGGGTTGTACTCTCCGTCGTCTGGAGTTCCGTCTTCGTACAAGGTGCTGGCCACCACCAAACGGAACTTATCCGCTACACAGAGACGAGAGACGCTTCGTTCAAGTCTACAGACGATTGCCTGCGCGTCTTGCGAACGAGGAGGTCATTAAAAACCCCAGTCAGCACACGCGAGGGGGCAAGTGTGTGGTCCGTGGCTGTGAACGTACCCAAGTCGACGGGGTAGATTTGCGTGTTCACGTCCAGGATGAGATCCATCTTGAACGACTCGCTCTCACAGTGCAGCCTGGAAACTGCAGACGCAGCAGCAGTCAAATCACAATGTGCACGCGTACACAATATATACCCGCACATGTTCACGTGCATTATTACATCTTTTCCCGGTAAAGTCACGTAGGTAAAACAATCAATAAAATAAATAAAAACAGCTAAATTAAATCACGACGTTTCGGAGGCAACACAAGCTTCCTTTATCATGTGTCAAAAAGGCACAGCAAATTAAGTTATTAAAAAAGGCACAGCAAAATAAGTTATTTTAGCAAAGTAAGTTATTTTGCTGTGCTTTTTTACACCTGAAGGAAGCTTGTGTTGCCTCCGAAACGTCGTGATTGAATTTAGTTGTTTTCATTTATTTTATTGTGACTTTACCGAAAAAACCAAAGAGTATGAATCCTTGCAGTCACGAAAGCTTCAAATCTAGAATAATTACATTTGTTAAGCCAGCAAAGCCTCACCGCATCTCAACTCTTTTTCAGGAGGTTCCTTGAGTTTCCCAGTACAGGGCCCACGATTTCCGTTTCCAAATTAAGCACACGATGCCTGTGTTTGTACTTCATCTTGAGATGCGGTTGTATACAGACGCTATACAAATCAAACGTTTTTCATTCTATGCACAGCTGAATTTTTCCGTCCTTATACCCTGCTGGTCGTGGGGCGTTACTTGACCATACTTCACACCGAGTACGGCGCGAGAATAAAAGCCGTACTTGTATGAGCACATACCAGTGCTGCTGTACAATAGATGTTCCTGCACTGCCCTCTACTGATAAGGTCGGTAAGCAGAGGCTGGGCAGAGAGACAAAGATGGGACATAAGCACCGATAAACCGTGTGTAACACATACGAGACGGGCGAGACACAAAGAACTCCATTCCCAAGAAGTCACAAACACCAACGAGAAATAAATCACGGCAGCAGATGCTGACACAGTTGTTGACGATGCACACACGGGAAATTAAAACTCTCCAGTATGTGGAGATTGTGGTCATCCAAGGAGAGACCGCAGAACGTATCACAACTCAACGCCGGAGTATACGAATCAGGGGTCCTCACAACGTTGACGACTCCGTTACTCCTGACGCAATTATCTGCATCAAACTGCCTCGATGTAAAACTACAGCTGCTGTTGCTCTCCACCAACAGCAATGATCCTCCCCCCTGTATGGCCTGTAACAGACTGTAGGAACAAGAGGAGCTCATACGAGGGACGGCACGGCACACGAGGTGGTTTGGGTGGCGAGCACCACGCCCGGATGCCTCAAACAACACCAACATCAACCACACGATAACAGACAAGATACACAGAAGCACACAGAGACACACATGAGCGTGTGTTCGCGTCCCACACGAACAAAGTCAAGAACTAGATTTGAAGTATACTTTGTTTTTTTCGGTAAAGTCACGTAGGTAAAAAATGTAATAAAATAAATGAAAACTAAATTAAGCGGTTGTGCTTTCGCTACGTTGTCCCCACCTGAAGAAGGACGCTTGTGTTGCGCCCGAAACGTCGTGAATTAATTTAGTTTTCATTTATTTTATTTTCTACCTACGCGACTTTACCGAAAAAACCCAAGAGAATCCTTGCAGTCACGAAAGCTTCAAATCTAGAATTAGATTTCAAGTTTTCGTGACTGCAGGGATCCATAAAATAAATGTATTTTCTACCTACGTGACCTTACCGAAAGAACCAAAGAGTAAAATAAGTAAATGTATTAATAAGTAAATTTATTTTATATATAAAAAGTTTTTTTCTACCTACGTGACTTTACCGAAAAAAACCAAAGAGTAAAATAAATGAAGTATAAAGTCAGTAACTCTCTCCAGAACTCAACCCAACACGCCGAGGCCTACTCTAGTCGAGCACCAACACGTGTTTGGCCGTGTGGGGGGGGGCGACTACTCCACACCACGCCAGCCGCTACTCAACCCGACCCCGGCGGCGCGAACCACCCCGCTAACGGCCCCGGCTCCGCCGCCGCTTGAGGAAGACGCGAGGAAGACGCACCGCGGTCAAATTTCTTCCCCTCGGGGTCCATGTCTTTGACGTCGAAGATGTCTTCGAAGAGGATGCCCGCCATCTTCTCGCGTCTCGCTTCGCGGTGACGTCATCCGAATCGGCGTCGATGAAGGTGAACCGAATCGATTCCCTTTTACAGCAAAGTGGAGGGAAAGAATCGATTGGTATCGATGTTAACCAGCGATTCCTGCGTAGGAGTGAAGCGGGCAATGGAATCGAATCGTTTGGAAGCGATTACATTTCGCGATGCGATGAGTATGATTCGGGGCATCGGTTGCCACCTTTAGCAAAGAAAAAAGTCGATTTGTTCGCTCCCTTGGCCTGGGTATATCAAAACTAGAATACAGTTCACGTAATTCCAACAAATCTCGTTACAAATCAACTTTTGATACCCAAAACACATACCGATTCACATATTTCTCTGGTCAGACTTGGGGCAGGTGGTAACCCCATGTGCGTCGTGCAGGGAGGGGCTGGGTGGGTGGGGAGGGGGCTGGGTGGGTGGGGAGGGGGCTGGGTGGGGAGGGAGGGGCTGGGTGGGGAGGGGCTGGGTGGGGAGGGTGGGGCTGGGAGGGGTGGGGCTGGGTGGGGAGGGGCTGGGTGGGGAGGGAGGGGCTGGGTGGGGAGGGGCTGGGTGGGGAGGGTGGGGCTGGGAGGGGTGGGGCTGGGTGGGGAGGGGCTGGGTGGGGAGGGGCTGGGTGGGGAGGGTGGGGCTGGGAGGGGGGTGGGAGGGGTGGGGCTGGGTGGGGAGGGGCTGGTCACCCCGTGGTGCCCTTATAAAACTCAACGTTTCACCTACTCACGCCGGCTTGTGCCCGCCCTCACAGTCGGGCATATTTGCGGAATACACCACGCCGCCGTTGACCCTGGCCATTGACCGAGCAACCCAACGTTCCTACCAGCTCCCTCCGCAGGAATGTTTTTACTGAGGATTCAGGGGAATTTAGGGCTCGTAGAGCCAGACTAAGGCACATTTGAATTAATATGGTATGTTGTGCCTGGCTGTGTGGCTCACAGAGTCCGACTAATCCACAATGTGTATTCCTATGCCCAAAAACTCACTAACATAGTCATGAGCACGGTTTTTGCAATTAGGAAAATATACTTTAGTGGGTTAAAATATGGTTTTATTTAGGACCAATTAAGCCGACAAAAGTTTTTTATACTTTGTAGATTTCACTTTGGGGCCGTCCATAAATGACGTCACGCACCTAATTAAATAGACTTTTTAATAAATGTTTTATCCTACAACATCAGAGTGCAGCGCCACATTAAATACGCACTACGACAATAGTTTAAAGCGATTTGAAGCATGTTTAATTTGGGGGGGGCAGAGCTTTGTGACGTCATATTTGAGGGGGGGGTCTGACTTTTTGTGATGCCGTGTGACGAGGGGGGGGGGGGGTCAAAAATCGTCCAAAATCGCGTGACGTCATTTATGGACGGCCCTAAAGCAGTTCTAAAGTAAGTTTAGGTAACATTGTACACGGGTTCTTATAGACGTGTTCATACAAAGACAAAGATTACCCGTATAGCCTGAACAGACTGTTGGGGAAAGTGCTGTTTGCAAGCACTTATGAGGGCGGGCACGGGACACGAGGGCGTGGGTGGCCAACACTACGTCCGACCGCCTTTGTCTCCCTCGTGGTGATTTTTACACACCACACCAAGAACTCATTTTGAGGTTGAGTTTACCAAGGGGAGGCCCATGACTGGCTCAGATAACACTATGTAACACAATTTTTGTTCCTAGGTAGTAAGTGTTATTTCGTAATTGCTCATGCCTAAAAAGTGTACAAAATAACTATTATTTCCCACAAATGTTGCTTTTGTGACCAGGATAGTGATATTTTGAAATGTACCTATTTTCAAAGAAAAAACGGGCGAATTTGTGTCTTTTCGTTCACATAAAGTCAGAAAAACATATGAATGAAAATTAACATGTATTTATACTAAAGTAATACAAAAATTATGACAATTTTTTTTAGAAATGAGTAGTTTTTCGAGATTTACGTTTATACTGTAAATCACTTTAACGAATCAGCCCCCAAATGTCTCCCATCATGTTCTCATTATACTGTCCTTGGTAGCGGTATTCAAAGTCCAGTATATCCTGGTGGTAGCGCTCGCCTTGCTCCTCCGAGTACGCTCCCATGTTCTCCTTTAAATTTACCAAGATGAGCATCAAGGGTGTGGACTTTGAGGGACATCCTACAGCCCATTGTGCCTTAGTTCTCCACCAGTCTCAACCAGCTTCACATAGTTGTCGACCTTGTGATTGCCCAGGAAGCCACGAACCACTGCGACAAAGCTGTTCCAAGCCGCTTTCTCCTTACTAGTGAGCTTCTTGGGGAATTCATTGCACTCCAGGATCTTATTTATCTGTGGTCCGATGAAGACACTGGCCTTGACCTTTTCCTCAGCTTAGGGAAGAAGTCTTGACGGTACTTGAAAGCTGCCAACTCCTTATCTACAGCTCTGACAAATTGTTTCATAAGGCCCAATTTTATGTGCAGTGGTGGCATCAGCACCTTCCAGGGGTTCACCAGTGGCTCCCACTTGATGTTATTCCTCCCCACAGAGAACTCGGTCCGCTGTGGCCAGTCCCGCCTGTGGTAGTGCGCCTTGGTGTCCCTGCTGTCTCAAAGGCAAAGATAGCAGGGAAACTTGGTAAAACCGCTTTGGAGACCCATGAGGAATGCCACCATTTTGAAGTCTCCGATGACCTCCCAGCCATACTAATCATACTTCAAGGCGTCCAGCAAGGTCTTGATGCTGTTGTAATCCTCTTTGAGGTGCACCAAGTGAGCCAAGGGAAGAGACGGGTATTTGTTACCATTATGGAGCAGCACGGCTTTGAGGCTCCTGAATGAGCTGTCAATGAAGAGGCGCCACTCATTCTGGTTACAGGCGATTTTGATTGCCTTGAATAGACTGGTTACATGGTGGCAGAAGCAGAGCCCTTCTTAACGGGTGAAGAAGCTGCAAAATTGTTGGTGACGCTTCCTCTGATCTGCGACTTGCACACTTTCATCCAACAAGTTCCACTGCATGAGTCTAGACATCAAAAGCTCGGCATTGGACTTGGCGAGACCAAGATCTCTGATCAAGTCGTTGAGGTCTTTTTGGTTGGGGTAGTATGGGTTTCTCTCCTCAGCTCCACCTCTGAAATTGTCATCTGGATATACATCTTCCTCGCTCTCTGACTTGCTGCTCTCTTCTAAAGACGGCTGCTCTCTCTCCGGAGGAGTGGGTATGCAGAGCTCATGGCAGCACCGGGGCGATGGATGAAGGTCCGGATACGTGATAGCAGGTTCATTCTTGCCAGTCCGACGTTTGGAAGGGTCCACCATGCAGAAGTAGCAGTTGCTTGATTGGTCAGTGGGTTCCTGCAAAATTCTTGGGATAGCGAACTTCATGGATCTCTTTTCCCCTCTGTACCATCCGAAAAAATACATTTATTTCACCAATGACTAATGTGCAAGAGATTCTCGCAACATTTTTCGAATACAATATATTTTTTAATAAGATTGAAAATTGTAAAACATTTGAAAATTAAAAACTATTCCAATTTAAAATATTTAAACACATTTTATAACATGAAATTCCGAACAACAATTGCCCATCTTACCTTCCAGAGTTTTTTTGCATTGCTCGCAGGTGAAATCAGGTGCCCAGGGATTGCCTTGATCCCCGACAGGAATGCCGAAATATGCCTTGTAGGCCTCACACATTTTAGCAGATGCTTCCACAGAGTACTTTTTCGCTCGCCTTGATAAATTAGCCGCAGACGTAAAAAATGCGTCTGCTGGACGCTTGAAGCCTCTTGATGCCATCTCAGAAAAATGCAGATATGTATCCACTTCGGCAGCTGGAACTAAACTGAACTGGTGGGCTTAAGGCCCCTGTATTTATACTACTATTTATATTACTGGAAAGTTCGAGAATGTTCTACAAGTTACTCCAAGTTTACTCAGCACTGAATCTATCTGGAATGTTCTGGAAAATAGGTACATTTCAAAATATCACTGTCCTGTTCACAAAAGCAAAGTTTGTGTGGAATAATAGACATTTTCTGTACTTTTGAGGCATAAGCAATTAGGAAATAACACTACCCAGGAACCAAAAAAAATGTGTTACACAGTGTAATCGTCACTGGTGTTGGCCCTGAGTGGGATTCAAACACAAAGGAACGCACATAACACCTTTGAGCCACCTGGACACTGCTAGTAGACAAACTTTATTTCCCTCTCCAATATAACCCTAATTGCCTTTTTAGGTTTTCATCAGTTTTCATTGAGGGTGTTAACAGGACCTTTTTCTAACGTTTGGCGAAAGATTGCGATCGAGGCGACTCCAGAAGTGGTTCCATTGCGTCACCTTCCACGGGAGGGGGGGGGGGGGGCACGGCCCAGTGGTAGCACGTTGCCTCTTGTTTCAGAAGACCGCGGTTCGATTCCAGCAGGCCACCCCGGTTATTATTGCAGGGGTCCCAACCATAAATTGCGCACCACCATCCGCTTTGCAGTGGACGTGAAAGGATTCCACCTATGTCATTCGAAATGAGTATACCACCGCGTTCTGGCATTGTGGAAAAGTAACGTGCAACATTACCCGATTGGGGGTACACAGAGAAATAATCCCCTCCTCCGCCCCATGCCTCCCAACTGGCAGACTGATGTCCGCTTGCAGGCCAGTTGCTGAATCGTGAAAACAGCTGCCACTGGGGAGGGGGGTGACTTTTCCAATGTGTTGAGATTTGTGATGCAAGTCGCTTATCATAAGGGGGATTTGAGACGCCCTGGCGTCAAGGGTGCTCATGCAAAAAACAAACCGTTGTTATGAGGTGCAGGATGATTCTTCACTCATTAGAAGCATTTTTTTAAAATATATAAACGGGAAATCAACGCAAAAGAATACACGTAAACAAAAATCACGCAAATTCATTCTTGATTTGCTGCAAGTACTTCTTTACTTTAAATAAACCACGAGCACTTTACAAGAACAACACACATCCCACAACACCAGTCTTTGCCTACAGAAGGGGGAATGTGTGAGTGGCGCATATGAGCCTACATTGTGAACAGCGGCGTAGCTCACGAGCGATGGGGCCAGAGGTCCAGGAGTCGGGATACCGAGAGGGCCGTAAAGTGGAGGGGGGGAGATAATTGTATAGAGACGGCCCAATTTTATTGCTTTCACCAGGGCCCATTGCCATCCACGCTACGCCACTGATTGTGAGCATAGGTGTGCATATGTATGCATTGTATTCGATATGAAATGGAATTGAATGTTTTAACCCATTGAGCAGTGTGAACATTGTGTGTGCGCGCGTGTCTTTGTATGGGTACTATTAATCGGACAATGACTACAATGGATGTATTTGTGTATGTACACAGGTAAGTGGGTATACACATGACGCTCCCAATAACAGTCTTCATGTTAACATGTATGTGAAGTCTATATGCAGTTATGCGTGTACAAAATCTATACATTGTGCCCGATTTAATTTAGCACACGTGTGCATGTGCTGTGCGTGTGTCTGCACGGCTGTGTGTAATTATATACGTGCGTGTGTATATATGTCAGCATGCATGCGCTGTAATGTCGATGTATATGACGATTAAACAAACATATACATGATTTCTATTCGCTAAGTGGATAAATAATGCGATAATATAGACTGTGCACGTTATGTGCTTCATTACGTTTCCGTGAATCTCAGATGCGCCGTGAATGCGTAGTGAAGTGTAAGCATAGAGATGAGTGAAGTGGTTTGTGTGCACTAGATTTTAATGTATGTGCGGTTTACGACACTTTGTGAGTAACGATGTGAACGTGTGTGTGGGTGCGCTGCACTTAACATCTCTGTGGATCGGGAGTGTAGCGGTTAGCACGCTGCTGTGCTACGAACCCAGCGACCCGGGTTCGATTCCGGCTCATGGCCAACACCAATGATGATTATCTGAACCGGTCCTGGGCCTCCCGTAGGTAGATTCAGCCTGAATTGAGTACCTGGTGAGGTGTGTAAACATCGTACTGCATACCACATGCATACAACCACATCACCTTGTACGCATTAGACGTTGGAAGCTAAGCAGGGCTGAGCATGGCGAGTGCTTGCATGCTAGCGCACTTGAACTAATATCCGTTATGAAACATGATTTGGCGATGCTGTTGTTGGCTGTGGTGTACAAGCACAGGTAACACAAGATAGAAACTCAACACACATTCGACAATGACACTACCTTCAAGCAAACACATAATGGGGCGACCTTTTGAGCAATGGGCCCTGCATCGGCCTTTCACTTAAGAACTATGAAGGGCCATTGCCTGAAACGTCACCTCTTATACGTTTCCTATTATGACCGCAGTGTTATTGCCAATTGTGTTGAGTGCTTTTTGTTTCTTATTTAAGCTCCACTATGTGGTTTATCATTTGCCCTTGAGAAAAATGTTTATCCGTGGAAGATCTTTTTTTTAATGTTACTAAAGACCATCAAGTGCCGTTTCGTGTTCTGTCATGTTTCATGTTTTATATATATATTTCTATATTTAATATTCCATCATTTTAAATTCCAAAAGCATCTTCGTTACGTTTGCTTAAAGACCATGAAGGATGATTGATCCTCCTACAACCGCAAATGCTGCAGCTCAGTCCTATATACCATTGTGTCCAAGGCCGTATGTACACTTTATTAACATACACTGTTTTTTTTGTATTGTTTTTAAGTAATATTTATTTTCATCCTGTTTGTAGTAAGTTCTGGTGTGTGGGTTTCATGTCAACAATTGTTGTTTTTTGCTCTTGCCAGCTTGCACATTCCCACCCTGCGATGATGTCCTGTGACACTGCCGTCGGTCTTGGGCTTGTGTGGTCTACACATCTCTAAGTCACTCTGCAGAGCTCTATGCAAATGTAGAGCCCTCTATGGAATTCTATGGTTCCCTTTGTAACTGCGATGTCCCGTGACCGTCGCCACGGACTTGAGCTGCGGTCATGTCCCTTGTAACGGAGCTGTGAAGCTCAATGGGCCTTACCAACCGAAGTAGCATGATTGATCTTGTTTAGAGCTTTCATGGATGACAGTCAGGGCGTGCCAGGTGTTGTAGGCATTGGGGCTCCAAGGTGGCCAGGAGATGGCAGTGCTGAGTGGTACCCCCCTCGAATGCGTGGCGGGTTTTCTCCGGATTCTCCGGTTTCCTCCCACATTGAGCCCAACACTCATACATGCAAATGGTCAAACAGCGCCATGCAGGGCCCCTCCTCGTATAGATAGAGACGGTCTTGAGAGACAGTGTTATTTTAACCACACACACACACACGAGGGTCAGTGAAAGTCTACGTGTGTGTGTGTGTTTTGGGTGATAGGTATACTATACACAAGTTAGCGAGTGTGCATATTGTGTGTCACGTGCACAGCATGTGAGAACGTGGTTGTGTACATGTGCCTGGAGTGTGTTTGAACGTTTGTGTTTCCATGCAGGTATGAGTGAGTGCTGAATATGCGTGGTGTGTTTAACTGCGTGCGTGTTTGTGTGCCGGTGTTATGCGCAGCAGTGAGATGGACCATGGCATCACGCAACTGGTGAGGGATGGCGGTGACCGGGGAAAGGGCTTTATCGAGCAGTGGATAGAACCTGGCTGGGGATGATATGGTTCGTGTGTGTGTGCAAGATGTGTGTGTATACGTATGTGTGTATTGCTGGGCTCATTTTTGTATATGTACGTATGTATATTTTATATCATATGTGCATGTGTGTACATATCTATGTATATGCTGCATGTGTAAATGTATGAGCATATCATAGCACGTAGGTTTTTTGCAGCCAATATTATGAATCGTAACAGATTTTTGGGTTAAGCCACAATAATGATCCAGCCAAACTTGTGTCGTGACTCTCCACCACCCAACACAGCCAGGCAAATAAAATAGTCACAAAAATATATAATTGGCGTGTCAAATGCTTGTGCATGTGACAATTGAATTTGTTTGGCTATGTCGGGTGATGGAGGGTCTCACGACACGAACATGGTCAAGAGCATTACGTGGCTTAACCCCATAATCAATAACGTATATTTATGTATATATTTGGTGTATGCATGTCTGTGTCTTTGTGTGTATGTGTGTTGTACGAGTCTATATCCACGTTTGTTTGTGTGGATGTTGTACGAGTCTCTGTCCACGTGTGTGTGTGTGTGGTACGAGTATCTGTCCGTGCGCGTGTATCTTGTACGAGTCTCAGTTCACGTGTGTGTGCATGCGTGGCCGCGAGCTGGATCCCGCGGGAGCCATGTCCGTCTCCGTGCCGGACTACACCTGCGCCCGTCAGTTCCACACCTTGAGGAAGCTGTCCCAGGAGCCCGTGGCCACGGCCATGCCGTCATCCGTGACGCCCAGGCATGACACGCGGTTATCGTGGCCCGCAAGCACGCCTGCACACAAAGACAAAGCTAAAAAGATTCCCCCCATAGCCTTAACAGACTGTTGGGGCAAGTGCTGTTAGCGAGCACCTATGAAGGCTGGCACGGCTCACGAGAGGGTGGGTGGCCAGCACCTTGCCCGACCGCTTTTGTTTCCCCAGTGACGATGTTTTTAGACATCGCAACAGGTACTCATTTGAGGCTGAGTTGACTTAGTGGAGGCCCTGGACCGGTTCAGATAATCGTCACTGGTGTTGGTGGCCGTGAGTGGAACTCGAACTCGGGTCGGCGGGTTCTGAGCGCAGCGTGCAAACCACTGCCCCACTGCTCCACTGCTCCCCAAGCACAAGAGGCAAATATCCCCTGTGTAATGCTCACACACACGTGTGCACGCTCACACACACGTGTGCACGCTCACACACACGTGTGCACGCTCACACACACGCGCGCACGCTTACACACACGCGCGCTCACACGCACACACTCACACGCACACACTCACATGCACACGTGCTTGCGAGCTTTCTCACACATGTACACACGCGCTCACATGCACACCCTCGCACACATGCACACACTCGCACACAGCACACACTCTCGCACCCTCACAACCATGCACGCACCGGCTTTCTCCTGCTTCATGCCGTCCCAGATGTTGCAGTTGAAGTCATCGTGTCCGGCGAGCACGAGGCGGCCGGAGCGCGAGAAGGCGATGCTCGTGACGCCGCACACCACGCCGTCGTTGGCGTAGACGCAGAGCTCCTGGTCGGCGCGGATGTCGAAGAGGCGGCACGTGGCATCGTCGGAGCCCGTCACAAACGCCTGCCCATTTGGGAAGAACTGAGGGCAGAGACCACCGGGGCGTGGTGGGAGAGAGAGACAGTGAAGAGATAAGAGGGAGGGAGGGTTAGAGATGGGCAAACAGAATCAGAATCGTATTCATACTGGAGGAATACGATGAGCTACAAAGCTATTTTTCGCAGATGTCCAGAGAATGAAAGGAATCGGGAGAGAGGTAGAGAGTCAGAGTGTGCGTGTGGGGAGTAGCGGCGTCGCGGTTAGCGCACTGCACTACCAACCTGGCGACCCGAGTTCAAATCCCGCTCACGGACAACACCAGTGATGATTATCTGAACCGATCTTGGGTCTCCCCTAGGTCGATTCAACTTCTAATGAGTACCTGGTAAGGTGTGTAAAGATTGCCACGAGGGAGGCAAAGGCGGTCCGGCGTGATGCTGGCGAATTGCCCGATGATGCTGGATGCAATTACCAGCAAAACGTCGTACTCAACAAATTGTAAATGTTGTGGTTTCACTCTTCAACACACCGGTGGGCTAAAGTAGTGAACTATTTGTCTTTTGTCAACGTGACACTTTTTTGCTGATTGGCCGTGTCGGGTGGTGGAGGGTTATGACACATTTATAAATAACGTGATCTAACCCAAAAACCTTTATTATGAAGTGATGCTCGCCATCCACCCCCTCTCGTGTGTGCTGTGCCGGCCATCATAGGTGCTGCTCGCTAACAGCACTTGCCCCAACAGTCTGTTAAGGCTACACGAGGGATCATTGTCTTTGGCGAAGAGAGAGGGAAGGGAAGAGAGATGGAGACACGGATGAAAAGATGGTGGAAAGAATATGGAGACAATTTAATATATAGAGAGAGTGGAGTTGAAAGTGAGAGAGCGAGCGAGTGAGTGGGAAAGAGGAAGATATGCTTGGAGAGACGGAGAGGGATAATGTTTGAGCTAGATCGAGAGGTCAGAGAAATCATATCATCGCTCTGACAATGTAGATTGAATAAAATAATTTTAAGTCCATGAATTTACAACGGAATTAGTTGGGAATACGTGCACCCTTGATTAGCATGGGAACTCGGGAATGATTCGACTGCGGTGTTGGCTTAAGAACAGGTGTATGTGTGCATACACATGGACATTCAAGCCGTATTTTTCAAAATCCTTTGTTCTCTTACGCATGTTTCCCACGTAATCAGACCTTAAACTACCCCTAGCTGATATACACACCCCAAACATATGCTTCGAACACACCCCTCGAAAAAATGCATATGCACCAGACACACACACACATCCTGTACACATAAATGCAATCCAAGCACACACACAGTGAAAACACAGCACACGTACCATACATATGTAATGTAGCTCTCAGAGACACCGTCCTGCTCAGTTATGTATCTCTTTATTGTGAATCAAGTCTGCCGACTCACTGATAATTTAACGGGTAACTGCGATTGGACGATGTACAGCTGGGTAACTTCTGTGAATCTACGCGACGCTCCCCATGTAGTTGGCTGACTACACAGGAGCGGACGCGGAGTAGTCACGGAGACAATATTAACTCTAGCCTTCCAAGACGACAAGGTGACCGATCCCAGACGATTAAGGCGACCCGCTTCAAGATGGCGACAGCGAACGATGGTCTCTTGGTTCCGCCACAGCAGCAGCCCAGAGCCCTGTTCCACGCCAACTTTTATCCACACCTCGACCCGGCCACACCCCTTTTCCCGAACTCTCTCTCACCTCAACTGGGCCTGTCTGTCCGTCTCAATTATTATTTATGACCACTTAGGTTACGTGCTTATCCGAGACCCTGTCGCATCAATTAGTAACCACGGCCATGAGGAGCCGTACTGCCCTTACCCATATACACACACCCCAAGCATACGTTAACATATGTCTTGAACACATAAACGCACTCTGAACACGATCTCCAAATACACAAACACCTCTGAATATGCACAAACATACACGTACCAACACACACACACCAATACACACACACCTCCTATAATTATCACCTCCGATAATTATCACGGTTGGCTACGTACGGTGCGAAAGAAGTTCAACATACATGCATACACACAAGCACCAACACATGCACGTACCAACAGACATGCGCTCCAACACACACAAGCACACCTTGACCACAAAGATAAAGATCTCCCGTATAGACTTAACAGACTGTTGGATCAAGTGCCGTCAGCCAGCACCTATGAAGGCCAAAACGGTACACGAGTGGGTGGCCAGCACCACACCTGACCGCCTTTGTCTCCCCAATGGCGATGTTTACACATTGCATTCATTTGAGGCTGTGTCAACCTACGGGAGGCCCAGGACCGGTTCAAATAATTGTCACTGGTATTAGCCGTGAGCGGGAATCAAACCCAGGTCCATGAGTTTTCAATGCAGCGCCCTAACCGGTACACTACCGCTCCCCACCTTGACCACATACACACGCACGCACGCATTTTGTGTGAGCCCCCACATCAGACAGTGTCTCTGCCCCCCACTATTTGCTGTGTCCTAGAGCCTTCTTACTGCTCCGGAGGGGTGATGTTCAATATGATGGTAGATGATGACGACACAAAACTCACAATAATGTAACATGCCAAACATCGCAATGTAAGACCCTGCAGACTTAGTGAGACTTTACTTGATAAATAAACAATGGTGCCCTATTCATGGCAATACCAATGAGATAAGTAGGGGTGATTGATGGTAATAATTATGAGTGGGATCATTATTATGATGGTAACGATGGTTAGGAGGGTAATGATTGTAAGGGTGTTGGTCTTCACGGTTGTGATGATGGTGGTGATGATGATAACGATGAATCCACTGCTGGATGAGGGCCTCTTCACGCCGTGCAGGTCATGGGGGTTATTTGACCATACGTACTTTGCAAACCGCTGGTCAGTGCGGATTGCTGAATGCGACGAACCATCGTGCATTGGAAGTGTGGGACACACAATGTACAGTTACGGCATTGCCCTCTGCTGCCCACTGTGTAGCCCTGCAAGTACTGGTGATCAATCATCCCAGCACTACCCAAGATTGAAAGCCAATTTCTTTGAAACTGCTTTTTGTTGTCCTTCCCCCGCACCTCCGATCTGCACGGTTGGCTACGTACGGTGCAAAAGAAGTTCAACATACATATATACAGACTCAACCCTGCTGAGCTTCCGAGATCCGACAAGAACGAGCACATTTTTAGTGATCTCGTCAAGGTTACTCTAGATCAAGAGGCCTCTATGGCCACAGCTGTTGCCGCTACCGCACCTTGCCAACACTTTTCCAAACCTCTCCGCCAGATCCCCACAACTGCTGCAGCACAGGAGACACGCGGACTCCAAGATCAGCTCAAACAGTCTCCCACCATCTCGTCTTAGGTCTGCCCAGATTGTTTTTTTGTTTGTTGCCGGATTGGTGGACAGCACTCAATGCCGGTCTTGGGAACCGACCCTCTTCCATCCTCCACACACGTCCTACGCAGCGAGACCTTTTCCGCATCATACCTCCAACACTTACCTATAAACTATTAAACAATTTTTTTTATTTTACCAGGTAACGCACCACTGAGCTATGTAGCTCTATTTCAGAAGCGAACTGGCCACAAGTGATCGTCCAATTAAGTGTCTTATCCTTGTGGAAACTTCTACCAGCCAAATACTATAAATGCACACTGTTGGTTCTAAATGTGGAGGAAAAAACTGGAGTACCTGGAGAAATATCCACGTGATCACGGGGTAGACATGCAAACTCCAAATGTACAGGGGTCAAGAGTTAAGATCGAACCCAGGACCTCCTGCACACTAGGTGAGGAAGTTTACATCTCGCCACCACGTTCAATTCCGGAATTGCAACATTGTTTATCCTATCTTGCCGCAAAATTCCTATCATCCATCTCGGACACCTGTGTTGCTTAGTTATGGTCCTGATCCACACAGGATAACAAATAAGCACTGCTGCCTCAAACACCATTTTCTTATCTCTCTCCTCTTCCAAATTGGTTCCGATAGCCAATGAAAAACCTGCCCTGCTAAAGCAACGCTGCTCTCCTTGACCTCCCTTCCTCACAGCCCGCTGCATTACGGCCATCGCTGCCCAGGCACACAGAGCCCTCTGCCACCTCCGCGCTCTCTCCTCCGACCGTCCCACTTGCGATGCGATTACGGGAGCCCCGTTTCATAACACTGCCATTTACTTTGTCTTTAGAGAAGCATTTTATTCTTGAAACTTATTCACTCAGGAAAGCTGCAATGAGTCTCGAGACTCTTTTTCACGGAGGGTTCTGACGACTTTTCACACTTGAGGGGGGGGGGGGAAGGACGTTGCTCCATGTAATCCCGATAAAGTAATTTGTTGGTTATTATTCGAGCATTGGGATGTTTGGCTAATAGCAGTTGCATTGTATGTGTTTTTTCAGCTTAAATTAAGAATGCAAGCGCCAGCCTTTTGATGATTAATTACTGATGATAATCACGTGTCTTCTCATCTGGTTACGAGTCAGACCACACCAAAGACAAAGAATTCCCGTGTAGCCTTTAAAAGACTGTCGGGGCAAGGGCTGTTAGAAACAATTATGAAGGCCGGCACGGCACACGAGGTGGTAGGTAGCCAACACCATGCCCGGCTGTCTTTGTCTCCCCAGTGCAGATGTTTACAAACCACACCAGGTACTCATTTCAGGCTGGGTCGACCTAGAAGAGGGCCCAGGCTCAGTTCAAATATTCGTCTGGTTCGTAACACAATGCGCTAACCAATGCACCACAACGGCTATCGCCACATCTGCCACTGCCACCAGGGTCATTAGCACCACCACCACGGCCACCACCACCATGGCCATTACCGCCACGGCCACCGCCACCAAAGCCACTCCCGCCACTACGGCCACCACAGCCACCACTGCCACCATGGCCACTCTGGCCACTACCGCCACCAGGGCCACTGCCACCATCGCCGCTATCGCCACCACGGCCATGCATTTTATAGTCACGAGAAGCTGCCGGGCTCCGTTGGCTGCCAGCGCGTTAATGGGGGAGCGCACGCGTTGGCGCCACTCACGTTGATGGCGTTGATGTCGGACTCGTGTCCCGTGAACGTCTGCCGGCACTTGACCTCGCGCACGTCCCACAGCTTGGCGGACGAGTCGCACGCGCCCGACACGAACATGCGCCCGTCCGGGGACAAGGACAGCGACATGACGTCGCCCGTGTGGCCCATGAATGTGGAGGACAGGCGGCCCGTCTCGATGTCCCACAGGCAGCTGCGTGGGGAGCGGGGGAGGGGACACAGTGGGGCAACAGTGAAACACTGGTGAGACTCGCGAAAGCCACCGTGTATGCCCAGGCTGCTTTTGTTCATCCGGATAGAGGGTACTAAATGGGCACGGCAAAGGCTAAAAGAAGAGATGGAGCTGATGTGGTGTGAGAGGATCTAGGTGGGCTTGCCGATGACCGCTACCAGCGGTGTCAAGATCGACGCTACTGGGTAGGTTGAGGCAGTCACCCTCCAACAATAGCAGAGGGCAGATGAGCAACCCTCAGGTTCACCTACACCAAATGACTTAGCAGACAATATATCACCTTAATATATCTGTCACTACACATTAAAAAAACGTATATTTTTTTCGTGGTGGAACAGATATGATGAAGATAAATTGCTGCCAATAAATTTTGTTTGAATATTCTCCACAATGACGCTAAATTATTATTTCGTGGCATCGACGCGGCATAATGTTGTTGTTGCGTCGTACGATTTTGTTGCGTCGCTGTGTTTGATAAACTTTTGCCGTGCTGTTGCACCGTTATTGAAGTTGTTGTCGTGTTGTAGTATTTTATTTGTTGCGGTATTCACGCTTTCAAAGTCAGCTTGAGAGTGGTTATACATTAACAAAGGTGGGGGTGGGAGGCACGATGAAGACGATCAAATATGACGCAACCTGCGCACGATATAAAGATACGTCGGTCTTGGGTACTTGCCAGATAGAAAACCAGACAAATTGAAGGGTTCATCTTCTTGGTTCTTTCGGTAAAGTCACGTAGAAGGTAAATAATAAAAAAATAAAAATAAACATAATAAAATACAATTCTCACGACGTTTCGGCCACAATGCAAGCAGCCGTCCTCAGGTGAAGACGGCTGCTTGCGTTGTGGCCGAAACGTCGTGAGAATTGTATTTTATTATGCTTTATTTTTATTATTTCCCTTCTACGTGACTTTACCGAAAGAACCAAGAAGATGAATCCCTGCAGTCACGAAAGCTTTAAATCGAAATTGAAGGGTTGTCCAAAAATCTGGACACGAACTGCCACAAAATGGGCTAATCAAAAGCTCGTTGAGAACAAACGCATGTTGGAAAGCATAATCTTGGTGTATGAATGGCTTTTCTGAAATTGGAGTTGTCGTTGTTGCTGTATACGAGTTATCTGTCGTTTGTGGTGTATTGTAAAGTATTATGTATTGTTGTGTTTTTGTTGCTCGTAGTAACCATAAGGTGTCTCCGGAGCTGGTGAGGATTTTGGTGTCGTCGAGGAAGCGGCAGCAGGAGAGATACCCTGAGGGCACAGCGCGGAGACGCAACGCAAACAACGTGTTAACAAAAAACAACGGGTTAACCTTTCACCTATCCACGAGCAGCTGCTTTTTGTGTTTAGTTTGTTGTCCTTCCCCCGCACCTCCAATGAGCACGGTTGGCTACGTACGGTGCAAAAGAAGTTTCTACGTACATACGTAGAGCGCATGTAAGTACATCAACCCTCCGCCCTGGCTTTTACACCTGATTGGATCACAAGTCACTACATCTAATTTATTTCTCCACAACTGTTGTCCACCTGATGAAGCTAGTTGTGATTACAGGTGAAACGTCGTACTCGAATTGTAAATGTTGTGGGTTTACTCTCCAACACACCAGCATGCTGAACTAGTGATGAATTGCCATGTTTTGTTTACGTGATCTAACCCAAAAACCTCTATTGTGACGCTCCAAGCCCAGGACGTGTCATTCAGACTCTGTCTTATCGACAGACCTGTTCTTCACTTGAGGACGGCTGCTTGCGTTGTGGCCGAAACGTCGTGAGAATTATTTTATTATGTTTTATTTTTATTATTTTATTATTTCCATTCTACGTGACTTTACCGAAAGAACCAAGAAGATGAACCTCTATTGTTGATATGGAAGAGTTACTACATTTCTGGGAGGCTCAGCCAGGACACATGCCAAGTTGTTCGGTTCTCTTCCAAACAGCACCACCTACTTTCTATAGCCACGCCCACTAAACCACTAGCCCCTCCCACAACTCACGTGGTCACGCCCACTGCTCAGGTAGCCCCCACCCTGTTACCGACATTCCGAGTCGAGCACAAGGCCAGCAAATGTTGCCGTCTGTGGCACACCAATCACAAGCCATGAATTTTAGGCGATTTAATTAGCCTTCGCGACTTCAATGAGGAACACATTTTCTATCTTGTTTTTACCATCTCTCCGTGGTATTTATCATCTGTTCTGTGTCATTTGTGCAGTTTAGTTCGCTCCAGCAGTCCAAAGTTTTCAAACAACTCATGGTTTGAAATGTATGGTTTTCTGGCCTGCACTAGTTTTATTTTACAATCCGTTTTCTCGTCATTTACAGATTTGACCATTAACATATACATTATGTGTCATTTGCAGAAATGATATAGAGGCAATGGGCATAGACATTTGACAATAGTACAGCACAACACTTGATTTTGCCTCCATTGCTCTCTGCAACGTAGCCCCACAACAGCCCACAGCACCAATTTTAGACGTGACGCTCGCCCATTCAATCACCACCACCTCCTGCAACGTGGCGGTCTTAATAGGTGTTCACTAACAGCACTTGCCCCAACAGCCTTTGTAGGCAATGCGGGGGGAATCTTTGTCTTTGTGTGCGCATCAGCCAGTCATCTCAGACAGTCAACCCATAACATCCGGGTCTGTCCCGTGACCTCCTGCCAGAAGCAATCCTTCGACACTTCACATGGCCTCAAAGTGCACCTGGCCTGGCACTAGCACAGTAGTGTTGTCGCCACCACTTAGTGGCGAATGGCGGCTGTTGTTGTTGTTGTGTGCGTGCGTACCGTTGTGTCCAGGGAGCTCACGCGTGACCTTTATATTTCCCTCACGCGACTTGAGACTGAGGGTCACAAAACCACAGACAAGTGTGTGAACAAAGACAAAGATCCCCCGTGTAGCCTACACAGGCTGTTGACGCAAGTGCTGTTATCGAGTAGCACCTGTGAAGGGCACCACGGCATACGAGGGGGTGGTGTGGCCAGCTCCTCGCCCGGCCAGGGTCTGTTTCCCCATTGCTGGTGTTTACACACTGCACCAGGTATTCACATCAGGCTGAGTCGACCTAGTGCATGCCCAGGACCAGTTCAGATAATCGTCACCGATGTGGGCCGGGAGCAGGAATCGAACTCTGTTCGCAGGGTTCATAGTGCAGTGGCTTAACCACTGCGCCACCGCTCCCCAAGCGTGTGCATACACAACGCATGCAACACATACGCAAACGCAGCAATTGTGCAATGAATATCATCATCACCCTGATTTGTCGTCATCAATACACCATCAACTTTGGGCTTCACACAATTCATAACTTGTCACGATGGTGAGATGTTAACTACCTCGCCTGATATACAGGAGGTCGTGGGTTAGATCCCAATCCTGACGCCTGCTGTCTAGTTGGAGTTTGCATGTTCTCCCTGTGGTTGTGTGGATTGTTTTCTGGGGTCCTCCAATTTTTCTCTCTACATTTATAAAAATACATTTGGAGTATTTGGCTGCTATAAATTTCCACGTTGGCCTTATATGGCAAAATTTAAATAATTTCATTTAGTTTGAACACCAGGTGAGTGGTTGAGAGAACCAGGAATTATCACCCTGCATTTGAATGTGGATATAAAATGTATTAACCCACACCTTCGCTAAACTCTCAAGATAAAGGTACAGCCCTTGAAAATTACTGTTCACCACATTGCCGGCAGAAGAGCCTAAATTCGAGACATCTCTCATCTAGAGGGTATGTGGTCCAGTTTTCCACGCTGGTCAAACATCTCAAAAGAGTCACAGTAGATGAGTAAACATAGAAGAACGACATCTGTTGGTCCATCACTTTGGGGTTGTTATTTGCCTGTGGGATCTTGGGTGTACACATGCAAAAAAAATACCTCCCACTGCACATAAATTTACTATTTTTATTTTACCAGGTAAGCCCCACTGAGCTATATGGCTCTTTATCAGAAGTGACCTGGCCGCAAATAACAGCTCAACGAAGTGGCTTATAATGTGGAAAATTGTATAGCAGCCAAATACTCTAAAAACATGTTTCTAAATGTGGAGGGGAAAACCGGAGGACCTGGAGAAAAATCCACGCAATCACAGGGAGACAGAGGCATGCAAACTCCAAATATACAGCAGGTGTCAGGGTTGGGATCGAACCCACGACCTCCTGTATACCGAGAAAGGAAGTTAACATCTCGCCACCACGAGATGACAATTACTGTAACCTTCTTCCGTTCCACTCTTACAACAACCCCCATCTCTTCTGCCTCGCCCATGCTACTGCTACTCCCTGCCCCTACCCCCCAGCTACGACCAGGCCTACCCCAACCCCTCCTTAACCACTCCCACCTGTTTTCCTAACTGTCACCATAGCAACACCACCACTTTTATTAAAAAAAAACACTCTTTATTTCAACCACCACCATCACATGTACAATGTTTACAATTGTCGGAAATCACCCTGGAATAAAGCGCTATATGAATCTATGTAAGGAAAGCAACACAAAATATTCCTCATGATGACATTCGTCAGGGATTGCCAATGACATCACCGCCACAAAGAGTATCTAGGCCAGGGGTCGGCAAACCTGCGGCTCTTTAAGGATCGCTTCGTGACGTTATTTATTAAGGACCACCATTTCGTAGTCACATTTGCATTGTGGCTCTTGAAATACTCCAGTTTTTTTTTCCAAATTCGAACAATTTTTTTTATCTTCTTGTTCATTTGGTTGCTGACGCCCGATCAGGACTATAGGATTTTGGCTTCACAATTTCTAGTCTCTAATTCACAGTACTTTGTCATGAAACACGTTTTAAAAAAATGTGCCGTGGAAAAAGGGCCGTTGCCGGAAACGTTGCCCATTATATAGTTTCCTTTGAGGCCACACGCACACACACACGGTGTTCTTGATGGGATGCGATGGGAGTTTTGTCCTGTGCTTGCACACCACTGCCAACACAGCGGCATCGCTGAATAATTTAGTTTAAAATAAAAATTGATTCCCTGCTTAAATGAGCATTGAGGTTGCGTTCATCTCCCCACTAAGAGCCCTGGGCCAGCGAGTGAAATTCAAATATTACTATGGCAGGAGCAAGCGATTCCACGGGATTGCTGACCTCCCCACTAAGTGCTTATTTTATCACCCCGGAGAGATGATTGGCCGAGTCACACCCAACCAGTAATTGAACTCGTGACCTTCCAATTGCTTAACGTGACCACTGACCGTGTCTTTACCTTACCCATAACCCGAACCCCATCCTTAACCCTAAACCTGCTGAAATGACTCACCCACCCTAATCCTAAGCTCACCCATAACCTTAACTATAACCCAACCCCCGTATCCTATCCCTATCCATAGCCCTACCCTATACATACCCCGTAGCCTACCTCAACCCCTCCTTCAATACATCGCCATAGCCCTGGCCAAATGCCCCCCCCTCCCCGCTCACCTGTACACGGAGCACATGTTGTCGAGGCCTCCGCAAGCCACGAAGTTTCCCGAGGGGGCGTAGGCGCACGTCATGACCCACGATGACCTCAGCGGGATGGCATGGACCTGGTGGCGATCGGGCTTCGGGTCAGCGGGTTATGAGGTCAAGGTCATCACATTATAAAGTCGTGGGAGGGATGAGGTGGCCAGGTGATTTAAGAGGGCCCACAATGTAGATGCCAGGGTCACCTGAGCCCAATGCCCCTCCAGGCCTGGGTTTGAGTCCTGGGTCTGGGTGTGTCTCTTTAAAAAATGGGGTTCATGGCTGAGTTAGAGACACTGCACCAGCATCGCCAAATTCGTGGGTTTGAATCCAGGGTTCATCAGCACGCGATTAAACTTGGGTTGTCAGGAGTAGCGGGCTAAAGATCTAATCCGGGTCATCAAATGCATGTGTGCACAGAGCACACGTAATTTAATTTGGTTTTCCACTTAATTTTGTCTAAACCAGATACGTGGTCTCAATTGGCAGACAGCCACGGGGAAACGGCTCACTGTGAGGCTAACGATGGTGCGTGTGCAAGAACGACTCTTGAGGGATGCTAACCAAACACCTGTTACTTCCATTGTCCCACCGTGACAACGTGTGGCCTTAATAATAATAGCAACAATATTGCCCTTTATTAACCCAGGACAGCCTGAGTCTCAGGGCCCTGCACTAATTTCACAGTAGGGGTCAACGTTGTTGCGTGTGGCTTGTTTTTTTTACAATTAAGTAATTTGCGAGTACTTTTTCTTACTTGGCGAATATGGACTGTGATGCCAACGCACATTGCCGACTCTTTTTTTTTTTATTCAGGGATCTTGAACGTCCATTATGAAGAAGACGACGTGTAGTTTTTTACTGGTAATACCCCCGGCAGTATTAAACAGGGTCGCTACTGGGCTCGGACCACAGATATAGAATAAAAAAGAATTTTGGTGTGTGTTCATGCTGCCAGGGTAATTGGGCATCAATTGGTAACAAAAAATGTATACATGATTCACATACATATTCATAAGATCATTAAGATCGAGGTCACAATTTCCGGACGTCAAGAGGTCATTGTAGGTGACGCATTAAGATATTACTAAAAGGGTATGGGGTGTATCATTTTGTTTTCAAGGAACACTGTCAAATTGCAGTGAGGCCTGGTGAGAGCCTCGCCTAGTTACCTTGTTGTTAGTATACGTGTCCCAGACTATGAGTTTGCCGTCCTGGGATGCACTCAATAACAAGCTGGGGTGAGAGCAGAGGGGGTGAGTAGGGAATTCAGATGAGAGGTGGAGAGAATGGGGCGATAAGGAGGAAGAAGGTAGGTGGACATAATTGGAGGTGGAGGTGTAGGTAGGTGGAGACATTGGGAGAGTGGTGTTGGTTGGTAGAGTTATTGGTAGGTGGAGATATGGGGTGGTAGAGGTGTAGGTAAATAGAGGTGTTGGCAGAGAGAGGAGTTTGTTGGTGGGGACATCAGGAGGCCGAGGTGTTGGTTAATGAAGGTTAAGATAGGTGGAGAAATGTGTAGGTTTAGGTGTAGTTATGTAGAGGAATTGGTTATTGGAGGCATGAGAGGTGTTGGTAGGTTAATGTTTTGGAAGGTAGTGGATTTGTGAGGAAGAGGTGTTGGAAGGTGAAGGTGTTGAGACGTGTTGACATTGGGAGGTGGAGGTGGACAAGCAGGTGGACAGGATAGAGATGGAGACAGACACAGACACACATGGCATGGGTCAATCAGATGCAGCAAAAACACAAATGTGCTGAAATCGGCAACATGCACAGCACCTTGTAAACACCGAGATGTGGACCTTGTAACGGCACAGTGAGGTTAAACACACACACACACACGGTCGCAAGTTCAAACACTGCGAAGGAAATGCAAACACGAATGATCACAAAAACCCAAGACGCAAATGAACCCGGAAAAATGCACACGAACCCACACACACCTGCCCTGTCACATGTGCTCGCATGTACGCAGGTGAACCACTGAACACAGCAACACGCGCTCACGGGAATGCCAACAAAACACAAATGAGATGCAAATATGGAGGCACGGGAGCGATGGACTGGGAAGGGAGGTAGGGCGGTGGAACGACGTGTGGGTACACGCCGTGCGCACACGTGCACACCGTGATACCTTGTTGGTACTGCAGGTATCCCACACGATCAGCTTTCCGTCCTGCGAGGCACTCACTAGATTTCTACGCATAGGCACGCAGACAAGACATATGCACACACACGTAGAGGAGCTAATGTGTTAGATTCTTGCGTATGGCAGCAGCAATGTGTTCAAGAGCTAAGTGCCAACTTCGAGGTCTGCTGCTGGCCACGATGAGAGGGCTTCACGAGAAAGTTTGTGAAGTTTCGCTGTTCCTCCTTCTGCGTTGAAAAAGTGCGAACCACAGTTGTTTTCTGTACAGTCCATAGTTTGGGTTGCAATCTAATACTGTACACACAGATAATGGGTGGGCAACTGATTCCTTGCCAAGGACCAAACGCGACTTTCAAATAAATACCTTTGGTGGGCAACCACGTGTGTCGAACTGATTTCACGCCGTACGTGGCCAACCGTGCTCATCGAAGGTGCGGCGGACGGACAACAAACTAAACACAACAAGCAGCTCACGTTGTCAACGCACAGCTCGGCCACTTCCGTCACTGCAAGAGAGGGCCCTTGCAGTGAGAGCAGTGACTCGGCGCGACTACAATTAGAAACAGTGGTGCCAGGCCAAATTGATTTCTCCTCTAGGACCCAATTGGCGCGACTCTAAGATGCTTGCAGCGTTCAATAAACGACAACACCACCACCACGTGTGGATGTTATGAGATGAAGTCGTGGGCTGCATATGCGGATGCTTGTGAGAGTGACCAATGTCAATTGAGAGTTGAGATTTGACACAAATGTAGTTGGGTCTCTGCTGATCAGGAGAACGGCTATGCAGTGCGTCAGGGCGTGCCGGGTGGACTTGTTGCACGTGCTGGAAGATGAGACTGTCGCATGGCTCTGGTGGCTACATGGCCTGACGTCCACTCATAAAACATCGACATACACGTGTATTCATTTTCCTTGTGTATCTGGTGCTCTGTGTGAAAGTTACTTGTCAAAGAATGAGCTCAAAAAAATGCTTATAATCAGACAAATCTGAGAACCACGACGCTCGATATTGCGCCCTTCGCCTAAATGCTCTGACATGGCAGTGTGGTACGCGATGCAAGAGAACTCTATTTAATTGCCAAATCGAACACGCCCGCATCGTTCTTGGTATTACGTGACTGTGGATTGCCCGCGAGCATAGAGCGTAAGGTCCAGGAAAAACGTGTGGCAGATGATTGAGTTAACATTGAAAATATGACAGTAGAAAAAATACTCAGGCTACCAGACTGTTTGGTCTCATCCGTACTGTCTTCAACTACCACACTGCAGGTCAAAACAGCACACAGACTCACTTACCCACTCACCCACCTGCACCTCCAATGAACAGTTGGCTACGTATGGTGTGAAAGAAGTTCAACATATATACATACACCCACTACACTGAAGGTCTAACACTTCCCTTTCTGCTTCTTCCCACGCACTGCTGCACTTTGGAATGTATTACCATCGTTGCTTTTCCAAAGCTCTCATAATAATAATAAGAATCTAAACATTATAATTTTGATAGCGCTATTTGTTCCTGGCCATTCGACTATTTGGGGCCTTTGGGATTGTGTTCGACAACTGTGTAAAAAATAATATAAATCAAATGAGCTTTGTGTTCAAACTTAACCCGTAATCATTCTTACTCCTTACACAATTCCACATACACACGTAGGAGTCACATGACTCGGCAAGGATATTCGCACGAGCAGGGCCTGTCAGTAAGGGGTGGAACCTTGTGGGTTATCATGTTGAAAGAGCAACAGTGCAACATCAAGCGATGCGTTTCAATGAGGAAGTCTCCCTCTGATATTCACGTTGCAGCAGCCTGCGCGGAAAATGCTTTGCATGAACCGTGCGCCAAGAGACAATTGTTTTCAGTTGAAGACTTCCTTGGCGAATACCAAGCAAATGAGCCCCGAAGTGTGGGAGTAGAGACCCCAGACACTGTACATGGTGCCGAGGGGCAAACGTTGCAGCAGCGAGCATTGGTGACGATACTCTACTACCGATAACTCGTAATGAGGATCAAACCGGTCCGAAGCTGTTGATCACTGCATCACTGCATTTGCTCAAATGTACTTTGGTGATAAGCGAAGACAAGAGGCCCACAAGTGCAGTTCTTTATGAACTTCTGGTGTTTTTTTGCAGAATGCACAAAGGCTGAGTGGCTTTTACACATTATTTTTGGGAAATGTTTGTAAGCTCCATGGCTGCCCCTAGAAGTCAAACGATCGCTAGCAGTGATGCAACGGCGCGGGAGGAAACTGCTGCTTCGAGGAGGGACCCACGCGGTGCCGGAGCATGGATGGCATGGGCCCCGCAGCAAGGAATGAAATGAGGCCCTCATAGCCCGGCGCTTGGGCCCCTCTGGCCTCAAGCCTGTGAGCTGTGCTGCAGTTTCACCCCCTGCACACTCATTGGCTATGCAACTGGTCCCACACGAGAAACTCCAAGCTCAGTTTTTAAAAATATTATGAGCAGAATCAATGATTTCGTTCACTGTATTTCATATCATTGCACGTCCGATGAGCACGGTTGGCTACGTACAGTACGAAAGAATCTTCTTGGTTCTTTCGGTAAAGTCACGTAGAAGGGAAATAATAAAATAATAAAAATAAAACATAATAAAATAATTCTCACGGCGTTGTGGCCATTATTTTATTATGTCTAATTTTTTTTATTTTATTATTTCCCTTCTACGTGACTTTACCGAAAGAACCAAGAAGATGAATCCCTGCAGTCACGAAAGCTTTAAATCGGTACGAAAGAAGTTTCAACGTACATACGTAAGAGCTACCACATCTGGGAGGCTCAGCGAGGACACGTGCCGAGTTTGTAGCTCCTCCCTCCTTCAAACGGCCCCACCCATTTTTCTATGACCACGCCCACTCAGCCACTAGCCCCGCCCAAAACTCCGTGTAGACACGCCCACTTTGTGGTAGCCCCGCCCCTTTGCCTGCATTGTGAGTCGGGCAAAAGGCCAGAAAATGTCGCTCAACATACGGAACACATGGCACACATTCTAGGGTTTTTTTCGGTAAAATCACGTAGGTAAAAAATTAAAATTACTTGAAACAGCAATCGTGCTGTGACGGTTCCACCTGAAGACGGAAGCTTGTGTTGCCTCCGAAACGTCGTGATTTTTTCTTTACTTTTATTAATTTTAATTTTTTACCTACGTGACTTTACCGAAAAAACCTAAGAACATGAATCCTTGCAGTCACGAAAGCTTCAAATCTAAACATGGAACACACGTCTGTGAACAAGAGATTTGCAGCTCATCGAATTCCTCCAGTGTCAATACATATTCCGTTTTTTTTCATTTTGATTCAACGACAGTAAACAGCCATCATTCGCCACCAAGGTCCGCCGATGCCATCGCTGACCTGGGGTGGCCAGGCTAGGTTCAAGCCGAGGCTGCGTGGAGTGAAGGCTCAATGGGAAGAGGTCACGGGGGGAGGGGGGGGGTACAGACCCAGGTAATTTGGGTAAACAGGTGAAGTCATCATACTGACACACGCACACACATACCACAAGTCTATATATACACACACACACCAAAACACGAGAATTTGCATTCACAGTGACAAGCTCGAATACAAATGGCCACACGAGCACATACAGCCTACACATGTGACACAAAAGACAAAGACCCCCCGCACCGTATAACCTTAACAGACTGTTGGGGCAAGTGCTGTTAGCGAGCACCTGTGAAGGCCGGCATAGCACACGAGGGGGTGGGATGGCCAACACCACGCCCGGCCGCTTTTGTCTCCCAAGTGGCGATGTTTACACACCGCACCAGGTACTCATTTGAGGACAAGTCGATGTAGGAGAGACCCAGGGCAGGCTCAGATAATCGTCACTGGTGTTGGCCATGAGCGGGAATTGAACTCGGGTGGTTGGGTTCGTAGCGCATCGCACTAGTCTGTTAAGGCTACGAGCCAGTTTTCACAGAGTACACAGTTAGATTTCTGTTAAGGTCACGCATAGCTTCAGCGTGAATTTACCATAGCGAGCCATCTGCTACAAAGTGGAGCTTAAAGACCACACGACATCATCTCTCACAAGAGCAGATGTTTACGTGTGTGCGTGTATGTGTGTGCGTGTGTGGGAGCGGTAGTGTGGTGGCTAGCGCGCCGTGCTACGAACCCGGCGAACCGAGTTCAATTCCCGCTCATGGCCATCACAAAGTAACAATCATCTGAATTGGTCCTCATCCTCAAATGAGTACCTAGTGCGGTGTGTAAACAACATCACCACTTGGGAGACAAAGGCGGCCGGGCGTGGTGCAGGCCACCCACCCCTCAGGTACTCTTCCGGCCGTTCATCGGTGCTCGCTACAGCACTTGCCCCAACAGTCTGCTAAGGCTATACGGGGGATCTTTGTCTTTGTGTGTGTATGGAGCCATCCATTTAGAACGTACGCAAAAATCTGTCAAAACTTGACCCCTCCACCCCTCCCTGTACGCACGCGTACTTTTTACACCCCCCCCCCCCCACCTCCCGAATCCTATAGAACGGCCGATTTTTAATCCACGCAGAAATGATGAAGGATTAATAATATTCACGTGTTTAAGCAAACAGATAGTCCACTGCCGGACTTTCTAACTATCCGTACATTGTCAGTAGACCCCCCCCCCCCCCCATACGCAAGCGTACGCATTTGGGTTAACCCCCCCTCCCCCCTCCATATGTACGTACTAAATGAATGGCCCCTATATGCATGTGTGTATATATGCATGTGTATATGTGCATGAAGATATGCATGTGTGTATCTATATATATATAAAAGGGAAATTTGTGAATATGTGTGTCTGTTGGAAATGTTTAGCATACTTCCCAACAAGCAACAAACTTGAAATTTGGCATGTGGGTAGCTTCCAGACTGTACACAATGCAAACAGTATAAAAAATAGACTTTTGTATTTTGAGGGGGGGGGGGGGGGTGCGCAATAATGCATATATTTTGCACGGCAAGTGAGCGGTGACGTCACATCTGTGATGTCACCCGCATGCTGCAGCATCACGCAGTGTGCCTGCTGACGTCACGCATCCCCCCCACCCCCACCCTCCGCGTAGGCCGTGTGTTAATCCAAGACAAGAATCCAAGTCTCGGGTGAAGCCGGGTAGTAAGGCTAGTATGCATATAAATAAAGATCCCCGTATAGCCTTAACAGGCCGTAGGGGCAAGTGCTGTTAGCGAGCACCTATGAAGGCCAGAACGGTACACGAGGGGGTGGGTGGCCAGCAGTGGCGATGTTTAGACACCGCACCAGGTACTCATTTCAGGCTGAGTCGACCTAGGGGAGGCCCAGGACCGGTTCAGATAATCGTCACTGGTGTTGGCCGTGAGCGGGAATCGAACCCGGGTCTCCAGGTTCATAGCGCAGCGCGCTAACCGCTACACTACCGCTCCCCACATACACACATGCACATAGCCTGGTACAAGCACCGTGGTGACGTCACTGCCACTTAGTGCCCAATGGTGGTTGTTATTGTCGTTGTAGACATGCGTGTGTGTGTATCCACCAGTGCGTACCGTGAGTCGGTGCCCCAGTGGCAGGCGTAGATTTTGGCGAGGTGACCACGCAGAGTTCGCCGAGTCCTCAACTGGATCCGCCCCACGGAGTCCAAGCTGGCTGTGACCTACAGCCACACAAACAAAAGTTCCCCCCAGACAGCCTTTAACTCGCTGTTGGGTCACCTGTAGAGGCTGGCACAACACACAAAGGAGGGTGGTGGCCAACAACAGGCCCGTCCGCTCGTGTCTCCCCAGTGCCGATGTTCGCTCATTTAAGGCTGAGTCGACCCAGGGGAGGCCCAGGACCGGTTCGGATATCCGTCAATGATGTTGGATGCGAGCGGGAATCGTTTGTGTGCCAACTACCCAGCCAGTCAACGTGGAACCGTTGGGCCATGCCAACAAAATCGAACCATGCGCCAAGGTCGAGCCAACGTTGGCATGTATACCGGGATACAGCCTCTCCCCACCGTTACACACACTAGGAGCGGTAATGTCAATGCATGCGTGGATGTAAATCCATACTTGTCAACCCATACGGTTTACCCGTATTCTTGTACAGGGAAATTGAGTTCTCAGGTCCATACGGCGTACAGCCGTTTGAATGCGGGCAATATTTTTTTGTCTATTTGTGTTTCTCCCTTGTGATGGAACTTTGTAGGATGAACGTTGGGATCTATAAGGACACGGGGTGACCAATAAGGGCTGAATTGGTCTGTAAGAAGGTAGGGCACTGATAAGGGGTTGACAGGTATGTAAATTACATCCATTATTATTGTGCTTAACCAGGAAAACCTCGCCGAGTCTCTAGACTATTTTAAGGAGGGTACTGCCAGGTGTTTGCAGGAGGACGGTGATGTTGCTGCTGCTGTGTGTGATCCCAATTAAGTAATTTTCTGGGGAAATCTTCAGCTTTGGGATGTTTGGTCACTACCAGTTACACAGTATGGTTTGTTTGCTATGGGAGGGAACTGGAAAAATCAGAGAAAACCCAATACACAGAAAGGCACCTGAGTAAGGAGTCACACCCAGGCCCTCCTTAAAGTAAGGCACAAGTCTAACCCCTGCGCTGGCCAAATATATAACATTCATAGTATTAAGAAAATCTTCAAAATAGTGAAGAGAATATAATTACTTCGGATAATTAATGGACTAAACGTTTAAAATCTTGATCATAATAAAAGTGATGTTTCGTTTTATATAGCGTTGTTCACGCAAATTGCGTTTAAACAATGGCCGAGGAAGCGGAGACGAGCGGGAAGTGAGCCACGCGGTGAGCCAGCGCCAACAATTGCCCAAGCTCTGCAGTCCTCTATATATTTCGTTAATTTCAGCCAGTTAATCAGTGTTTATACATGCAGGAGAAAACATAAAACATTGCAGCAACTATCACACCCTTTGCATCAGGGCACTTTAACCGTCTCTTCACGGGGCACGAAATGTCGAATTCCCACAAAGTGGTATGTACGGCACATACTTGGTTTAGTTTAGTTGATTTCAACCATGTGATACTACACGTACTTAGTTGAGTTTACTTTGTTTAAACAGGAAAGAACTCGAGAGACCAGGTTTAGTGTAAGTTGCACGACTGACATGGGTCAGCAAAATGCTAAAAACCAGCACAAATTAAATAATATACAGGATAGAGCCGTTTCAATACGGGCAATTTTTTTTTTACGATTAGTTTGTGTTTCTCCGTTGTGATGGAACTTAGTAGGATGAACGTTGAGATCTATAAGGACACGGGGTGACCAATAAGGGTTGTAAACTATGACTTTAACATAGCCACTTCCGTGACCAGTTACATGCTAATTCCTCACATTACTATCATGCTAATCTCCCAGTTACATGCTAATTTATCACTTTAACATCATGCTAATCTCTCACATTATCATAGCTACTTCTATGCTAAATTCCTCTGTTGATATGTAAACTTCTTTGTCAAGGCTTTCTGCTCCTCCCACCCAGCTTAAATACGCTGCCAAGCTTAGCGGTGTTCATTGGAGCGATGTCTTTCCGACAGCTCTGATTCTTCACCTGAGGACGGCTGCTTGTGTTGTGGCCGAAACATCGTGAGAATTATATTTTAGTATGTTTTATTTGTATTATTTTATTATTTCCCTTCTACGTGACTTTACCGAAAGAACCAAGAAGAACATACAGCAATGAAGCAAATCTAATTCAGGGCAAAGACAACCGCAGCACAAGCGAGATGGCAAGTTGTTGCACAAACACAAATCGACGCTGCGCAAATTGGCTCGGGCAGATTATTTTTAGATTTGTCAATGACAAACTGCAATTAACACTGAGCAGTGAGCTGTTGAGGTGAGGATCAGAGTGAGGGGAAGGGCAACCTACTAATTCACTTAATTCACAGACCCGGAGCCAACCGCAATAATCGGAGGTGCGGGGGGAAGACAACAAACTAAACACAAAAATAAGTTCTACAGAAATTTGTTTCAAATCCAGATGATTTAAAAGTGCATAACTCCAGTGTCTTCCTATTTTCAAGTCTTTTTTTCATGTTTATTTATTAGCCATAGCCCTGTGAGCCATTCGGCTCTTGAATCGGTTGCATCCGCAACAAACAAAAACACGAACAAGTGAACATCTTAAAGTGACTATGTGACTATGTGCAAACTAAAAATCCAGGAAAAAAAACAGCAACAATTCCAGAAAAAACACCGTACACCAATGCTGTGTGCAAAAATGCCAGTGGGATGCAAGTCAAACAACAACAACAACTACAAGACAACTTAGATTAAGGCCATCAGTCTAACTCCAGTACTACAACAAACTCTGTACTAATTGGAAGGAAGAGTGTTCCTGACGGCCGCAGAAGCAGATCTGAAAGTGCGCGATGCAGTGGCCGTCTGTGTTCGATGGCCAACCAAAAGCTGCTGCAAGGATGACCAGAGTTTGCGTGATGGTTTATGCTCCTTGACGAGATAGCCATGGTATCGTGGTTCATTTGTGGCAAGGAGATGATGATTGTTGGCCATGCCGATACACAACCAATGTGACCAGTCAGGTAGTCAGCCAAAGTGCCACTTGCTCTGATATCATTATTAATTATTCAACAATGGACATTGACCAGCGTGGCCAAGCATGATGAACTAATCACCATAACCGACATTGCTTGGGGATACCTTCATCCAGCAGTGGATTGACAAAGGGCTGTAAATGATTTTATTTTTTATCACTATACTTATAACCTTTGTGGGGTTGGGGGGGTGGGAACGTTGGTCAAATATTGCCTGTTGTTCAACGATAATTTAGCGTAAGAATTTAATTTATTATTTTATCTTTAGACGTGACTTAACCGAAAGAACCAAATAATAATTCCTGCAGTCACGAAAGTTCTAAAATTAAGAATGTTGGCAAACTATTATCTTTAAAGAATGCCGTTGTCAAACTGTGAAACCTACAAACAGGAAAGAAGGGGCAACAGTACCTGTGCGAAGGTGGTGTCGGCAAATGCTTTCCTGGCCTCCTGTGACACACAACGGCACAGGCAGGGATCGTGAGAAACAATGGGCAGGACACACGCACGCGCGGCAGGCGATGCTGATGGCCGATGCTGATGGCGGTGGTGGCGGTGGTGTTTGTGGTCCTGTCCTTAACATGGCAACAACAACAAAAAATCTGCCACTTAAAGCGCAATCGTCGTATTTATTACTTGTAAACATGACATTCGAAAATTCTATACAATGTAACAATTTCCCACCCCCACACAGCGATTCGATTAATTCTCAGGAATTGAGCTCGTAACCCGATTCAAGAAATTTTTACTTTTCACCACCCACTTTATTTCCCGAATTCAGCTATGGCATCGCGTCACGAAACGAAGCACCCATTGTGATTGCTCGCACAGTGGTGCAGTGCAACTCTTCGTGTAAGAGAACGGCCCCCGCAGAAGTGGATATCACAGAGCTACCGCCTGCTCTGCCAAAGAGGGAAATATTCGTTGCACGAGAGTCAGAACCATTCCCTCTAGCTCTCGAGATAAGATTCAAGCCAAAATTTCGTGCAGGGCCATTTGTTGAACGAGCTGAGAGGCCATGAACTCTGCACGCGTGGGGACCCCAGTGGCATCACGAGTGGCCCCCAGGGTCTCAGCGGTGCCAGCTTGGAGCTCAGATCTCTGTGCCGCCCGGCCACCTTCCAATCATAATTGATTGTTATTTGTGTAATTGTTTTTTTACACCTTACGATTCGCTCTAATTATACGTTTTATTGCTTGTAAACAAATGTTCCGGTTTTCTGAAAAAACAAATCAACTGGCACATTTGCCCATGCGACTAATTGATAGACTCTAGAGGGTTGTGGTAATAAATAAAAAACTGGCATCATACACGATAATCCAACCCAAAATAAATGAATTGTGGATCGTAATTGTGGTTGTGAAAGCCTTCTTCTTCACTTTTTTAACGCGTGTCGTTTGATGTCGCATTGCCACAGTTTTGCTCAGTCCACGAGCCGAAATGTAACATTCATCTATAATTTGAATAAATTTTAAATGCTTGACGCGAACACGCCCAAATTAATTGATTTGTGTTTGGAGTGCAAGAATCGATTGTCCGTGACATATCGACGCGTCGTTACACGCTGAGTTGGCATCGATGAAATGAACTTGGAGGATGATGACGAGGATTTCAGCGGTGGTGACGGTTAAGGTGATGAGTGGTGGTAGTGGTGGTCACATTCAAGAAGTAGTAGCGTAGTGGTTAGCGTGCTGCGCTACAAAACCGGCGACCTGGGTTCGATTCCTACTCACGGCCACCACCAGTGACAATTATTTTAACCAGTCCTGGGCCTCATCTAGGTCGACTCAGCCTCAATTGAGTACCTGGTGCAGTTTGTAAACATGGCCACGAGAGAGACAAAGGTGGCCGGGTGTGGTGCTGGCCACCCACCGCCTCTTGTGCCGTGCCGGCCTTCATAGATGCAACTCGCTAACAGCACTTGCCCCAACAGTCTGTTACAGGCTATACAGTGGATCTTTGTCTTTGATGTTGCTGGCGATGTCTTTGATATTCATGGTGATGTTTAAAATATTACCGATGGTACTGATTGATGTTGCTGTTGAAGCCGCTGCTTATGGGACTGGTAATGATACTGATGGTGATTTAAAGGATGCTGCTCATGGTATCGTTGATGGCGGTCATGACATAAAAGAAGCTGCCGCCACTGACGGTGCCATCGACGGTGTTGTTGTGGTGCTAGTGCTGACAGTGGTGGCGACAACGTTGAGAATGATGCCGACGGTGCCAACGATATTGATGGTGAGAGTGCCGAGGCGAGGCTGATGGTGCTGCTCGAAGATCAAGGGCGCGCACCTTGATCTGGTTGCGTAGCTGTTCCGCCTCCTGGCGTAGCTTCTCCAGTTCACTCATTGTGGCTGAGCGGTGCGGTCAGAGCGAGGCACCGTCCCTGCGCACCAGCAGCAGCAGCGGCAGCGGCAGCAGCGGAAGCAGCAGCACCAGCAGCAGCAGCGGCAGCGGCAGCACCAGCAGCAGCAGCAGCAGCAGCGGCACCAGCAGCAGCAGCACCAGCAGCAGCAGCAGCAGCAGCGGCACCAGCAGCACCAGCAGCAGCAGCAGCAGCGGCACCAGCAGCAGCAGCACCAGCAGCAGCAGCACCGGCAGCAGCAGCAGCGGCAGCGGCACCAGCAGCAGCAGCGGCACCAGCAGCAGCAGCACCAGGCAGCAGCAGCGGCACCCAGCAGGCAAGCAGCGGCACAGCAGCACCAGCAGCAGCAGCAGCGGCACCAGCAGCAGCAGCACCAGCAGCAGCAGCACCAGCAGCGCGGCACCAGCAGCAGCAGCGGCACCAGCTGCAGCAGCGGCAGCAGCGGCAGCAGCAGCAGCCCAGCAGCACCAGCAGCAGCAGCGGCAGCGGCACCAGCAGCAGCAGCGGCACAGCAGCAGCAGCGGCAGCAGCGGCAGCAGCAGCGGCAGCAGCCCAGCAGCAGCAGGACAGCAGCAGTCGGCACCAGCAGCAGCAGCAGCAGCACTGCAGCGGCACCAGCAGCCAGCAACACCAGCAAGCAAGCAGCGGCACCAGCAGCAGCAGCAGCAAGCCAGCGGCACCAGCAGCAGCAGCAGCAGCAGCGGCACCAGCAGCAGCAGCGGCACCAGCAGCAGCGGCAGCGGCACCAGCAGCAGCAACACCAGCAGCAGCAGCGGCAGCGGCACCAGCAGCAGCAGCAACACCAGCAGCAGCAGCGGCAGCAGCAGCAGCAGCGGCAGCGGCACCAGCAGCAGCAGCGGCAGCAGCAGCGGCAGCGGCACCAGCAGCAGCAGCGGCAGCAGCAGCAACACCAGCAGCAGCAGCGGCAGCGGCAGCAGCAGCGGCAGCGGCACCGGCAGCGGCAGCGGCACCGGCAGCGGCAGCGGCAGCGGCAGCGGCAGCGGCAGCGGCACCGGCAGCGGCAGCAGCAGCGGCAGCGGCAGCAGCAGCGGCACCAGCAGCAGCGGCACCAGCAGCAGCAGCAGCGGCACCAGCAGCAGCGTGTCCCGTCAAACACAGCCTCGCAGAGTGCTTGTACCGCCCTGTCCAGCTGGTCATCATAATCATCAGTCTCTGGTGAAGTCTTTAAAATGACGGTGTCGTCTCTCGTGGAGTATTTACACAATGTGTAGACGGTCCCCGTCTCTCACAATGGGTCCCCTAGAAGAAAGAGGCTGACAGGCCAGTGTCACTGACAGCTCTTTAGACAGCCGGCTGATAGACCGACAGTCTTACGTTCGTCAGAACGAGTCATCAGTATCAAAGGAATTACATTTTAACTCAACCGATGGCGCTTGTGTTCACAAGTCACGGACGTAAAGTGTCCCATAGTTTCAGAAGTATGGATGACTCATCCTGAGAATCGGAATCTTTATTTATCCTGAAGAAATCCGATGGGCTATGAAGCTCTTTTTACACAGATGTCCAGTAGGACCGGGTCAGAGAGTTACAACAAATACAACAAACGGCAGCAGTGCAAAGTATAGGAAAGGTAAGCAGATGACAAAAATAAATACGTAAAATAGATGAAGAACATAAGTTCAAACTTCTTAAGTAAACCAATTCCCAAGTTTGGACAAGGCAGCAAAACAGCAAAAACAGTCCCAGACCACAGCAACACAACACAATTGCACATTCAAATTGAACTAACGATACACGGGTCAGGAAGAAACTTACTAATTACTTTCGCGAATGCATCCTGTAACCAATAGACTAACAGACGATACTCTGATAGGAGATGGGGCCCCTCTGGAGAGGCAAAAAAATATACGGAAGACCGGCCTCTGATTTGGCATGGTCTGTGTACAACGGCAGATCACGGACCGGCCCCTGATCGGACCTTTAGACGATAGCAATGGCTTCTGGTGGGTGGGTAGAGGGGGGTAGAGGTCTCTTCCAGAAAGCAAATATACAGAAAGCCTCTGGTCTCTCGGCAACATTATCTTCAGAGAGAGAGGGAGAGGGGGGGGAGGAAACTCACACGTACTCTGACGTTACAAAAACCCCAACAACATCGTGACGAAATTAGGCCTGCGGCAATTTTTGCCAATGTATTTCCACGAACCAGGTTGAGAGAGCAGAGAAATAAGAGAGAGAGAGAGAGATAGATGTCCTCTGCGTGGGAAAAAAAAAGAAAGTGTGCCATCATCATCCCGCCGTTGGCGACGTACGGTGCGAATGAAGTTCAACGTACAGAAGTCGAAGTGCTGAGTCAGCATTATTGTGGTCCCGTGTTCCAATCCAGGCAAGCTGCCCTGTGATTAAACTGGGTTTTCAAGTGGAGTGAGGTTGATTGCCTCTGCCTCGTCTCAAATCACAGCGCGCGCAAAGCTGCGTCGTTACTTTTCGTCTTGAACTTAATTTGGCTAAATCTGGCTCTGAGAATTCAAAGTAAAAAAAAACACATTTACCGGATTGCCTGCCACGCGGCTATCTCGCCTGCAGAACGCACGGGAAAGCCTAAAGGATGTCAATGTCGCTTGAAGTTTTTTTGAAGTCCTGCAGAAAAAAATCTCCTACATATAGAACGTTAATCGTTACATATATCACAAAGCTAGAGAGATCGACCTGTGGAAATATATCTAAATATACACCCTGCATAAAGAACGTAAAACGATACAACCACACACACCACACGCACGAACGCACGAAACGAAACCAGAACACACGACATCCTGACTCAGCCAAAAACTAATTCTGTACAAACTAGCAGCGGCAGAGCCTGCAACACAGGCACACACACACAACAAACACACACAACAAAATCCCACTCTGTGATCACAACAACAACAAAACCATCTCTCTCTCTCTCGTGTTCGCGAACACCTATTAAGGCCGGCACGGCGAACAGGAAGAGTGAAAAACCCAGAGAGAAGACGTCGGCGGCGTCGTCGTCGCGAGCTTTGTCCAACTCACCTGCTGCGCTGTTCCAGCTGATTGTGTGTCTGTCTCTCTCTCTCTCTCGCCTTGTCCCACTACCCGCGTGTGTGTGTGAGCGTGTGTCTGTGTGAGTGTCCCTCTCCCTAAGCCGTGTCCCTGTGTCCAGGTTAAGTCTCTCTGCGTTCACCCCCCACCCCACGCCCCCTCTCTCGCTCTCTCCGCCTCCCCGAGATTAAAGCGACTCAAACCCAGGACCCGGCAGCACTGACGTTGACAGGCGGCTAGAAATCCGCGGCAGCATCACACACCCACACACAAACCTACCACAATACACACCCACACACACCTACTACAATACACACACACACCTACTACACTACACACACCCACACACACCTACTACACTATACACACACCTACACACCTGCTACACTACACACACACACCTACCTACTACAATACACACACACACCCACACACACCTACTACAATACACACACACACACCTACTACACTATACACACACCTACACACCTGCTACACTACACAAACACACACCTACTACACTACACACACCTACTACAATACACACACACCTACTACACTATACACACACCTACACACCTGCTACACTACACACACACACACCCGCACACCTACTAGACTATACACACACCTACTACAATACACACACACACCTACTACACTATACACACACCTACACACCTGCTACACTACACACACACACCTACTAGACTATACACACACCTACTACAATACACACACACCTACCTGCTACAATACACACACACCTACAACAATACACACACCTACTACACTACACACACACCTACACCTACTACACTATACACACACCTACACACCTACTACAATACACACACACCTACTACACTACACACACACACCCCCACACACACACACCTACTACAATACACACACACCTACTACAATACACACACCCACACACCTACTACACTATACACACACCTACACACCTACTACAATACACATACCTACACCTACTACAATACACACACCCGCACACCTACTAGACTATACACACACCTACTACACTACACACACACACCCCCACACACACACACCTACTACACTACACACACACCTATTACAATAAACACACCCACACCTACTACAATACACACACCCACACACCTACACACACCCACACACCTGCTACACTACACACACACCTACTACACTAAACACACACACACACCTACTACAATACACACACCCACACACCTACTACACTACACACACCTACTACAACACACACACCCACACACACCTACTACAATACACACACACCCCCACACGCACACACACACACGCAACAAAGACACAGATCCCCCTTGTAGCCTTTGACAGACTTGTGGGCCAAGTGTCGTGAGCGAGTAACTTCACCTATAAAGGCCGGCAGGGCACACGGAGGGGGTGGGTGGGTGGCCGACATCACGCCCGGCCGCCTTTGTCTCTCCAGTGCGGGAGTTTGCACACCGCACCGGGTTCTCGTTTTTAAGGCTGAGTCGACCTAGGGGAGTCCCGGGACCGGTTCGGATATTCGTCACTGTTATTGGTCGTGAACGGGAATCGAACCCGGGTTGGGCCTGGTTCGTAGCACATCGCGCGAATCACTTCACACACACACACACACGTGTGCGTGCACACGTGTGTGTGTGTGTGCACACAGCAGCAGCTGCAGATGCCATTTGCCACCATATGGTGGTGATGGTGATGTCACCGTGGTGCTTGTGCCCGTCTAGGTGCACTTTGAGCCCACGCAAGATAAAGACAAAGATCCCCCGTATGGCCTGAACGGAATGTTGGGGCAAGTGCTGTTATACACACGCACTCACGGTAAAGCTAGATTGGAGATTGTATGTGCTATGAAGTAGGGTCATACATTTGAAACGTTGACTATTGTATAAATATCCGAGCTTGTTTGTCCGTCCGAAGACGGAAGCTGTAATATTGACGAAAAAAATGGGTAGAGTATAATTGCATCTTGTGTAAATTTAATGGCAGTGAATTTTGCACAAAACGAAGTTCTCAAACACTTCACTGCATTTCACTGTAGCACTGTATATAACTGACCTTCAATTTGTTCAAATTCACTACACTGATACTTTATTCTCTTCTGCTTTCGGTCGCTGGGGTTGAAATAAATTGGAAATCCATACAATATCTGGGAAATCACCGAGAAATGTCTATTTTACCATAATGTAGAAGCATAAATTAGACTTACCTTTTGTCTCAAGTGCTGAAGAAATAAATAAAGACACCAAATCCACTTTGTCGCTTGCGTATAATTATTTATTAGATGCACTTTCAATAAAGAAACGTCAATCTTAAAGCGAATTTGCGAAAAAAAAACGCGCTAACCGCTACACACACGCACACCTAAACACAAAACAAGCACAATACTAGCCTTCATTAGCCACTAAATAGCGGCGATATTACAACAGGAGCTTTGTGCCCAGGATAGGTGCACTCTGAGGCCATGTGGAGTGGCTGTCTGGCTGGCCGGAGTTCACAAGAGTGAACAAAGTCCTCCAGGTCATATGGCAAGGGGGCGACATTGGCAGATGCATCAGCCGCACTGCCAACTACATAAACCGGACACCAAATACACGCGGCATGCAACACACACACACACGTGCACTCACTCGGGCACACACACACACACACGACCCCCCACCCACCTCTGCCCCTTTGCATTTCCAGAGACTGGGTTAGGATCTTCGTTGAATGTGGACACACTTTGTGAGACCCCGGGGTGTTTCGCTTACTTCGCGGTTATTGTTTTTGATTCATGGTGGTCAAATGACACGTGTTGGTGGACATGCGGGGTGTGTTTGAGTACTGTGCCATACACTATGGCGAGCGGTTTGCATCGTGGTTAGCGAACCGTGCTACGACCCGCCCGGGAGCCCGAGTTTGGATGCAAACAAAATGAGAGCCGGTTCTGGGCCTCGCCTAGGTCAACTCAGCATTAAGTGTCCTTGGTGAATGTATGTATTATTTCTAGATTTTAAGCTTTCGTGACTGCAAGGATTCATACTCTTTGGTTTTTTCGGTAAAGTCACGGAGGTAAAAATAAAATAAATGAAAACAACTAAATTTAATCACGACGTTTGGGGCGCAACACAAGGGTCCTTCTTCAGGACAACGTAGCGAAAGCACAACCACTTAAGCGGTTGTGCTTTTGCTAAGTTGTCCCCACCTGAAGAAGGACGCTTGTGTTGCGCCCGAAACGTCGTGATTTAATTCAGTTGTTTTCATCTTCTTGGTTCTTTCGGTAAAGTCACGTAGAAGGGAAATAATAAAAAATAAAAATAAAACATAATAAAATACAATTCTCACGACGTTTCGGCCACAACGCAAGCAGCCGTCCTCAGGTGAAGAACAGGTCTGTCGGAAAGACAGCGTCTGAATGGATTCAGACGAACAAAGTCCTCCAGGTCATATGGCAAGGGGGCGACATTCAAGATGAATCCCTGCAGTCACGAAAGCTTTAAATCGAGAATTTGAGTTGTTTTATTTTTTACCTACGTGACTTTACCGAAAAAAACAAAGTGTATGTATTATTATTTCCCTACTACGTGTATCCGTGTCGCGGACTTGCATCGAAGCGGTCATCAACTGGCACGTGTTTTGTTCACGCGACACGCCTCTGTCAATTGGCGGGCGTCAGGTGGAGGAGGGTCTTGCGACACACACATTTTGACTCGCGCGCCACCTGACCCAGAAACCATCGGGATCCGCAAAAATTGGTCGCAAAACAAAAAATAGCCGACGCGCCGGACGAAACAACTCGACGAACGAAACGAGGTCCTGAAGAAGCTCCCGCCACGTGAGGCGAAACGTCGGACTTCGTTGCCCAATACACCACGCGGCACAACCCGCAAACCACGTGGGAGAGATACGTATCGTGTTCATTTGAAAAGCAACGGCAACGTGCTTGTAACTTGCACACTGGCACCTCCGATTAGCACGGTTGGCTACGTAATGTGCAAAAGAAGTTCAACATACATGACATGGTGTGAACGGAATAGCGCCCGTTATAATACACTCTCCGTTGGGGAGTCAAGTGACTCTGCCCGATGATAATTATTATGTTGTATTGTATAGGTTTGTGCCGAACTAGGACCCATGACTACCAGAGGGGGATTCCTTGCCGATTAAAAAATCTGGCAGTTCACCAGCATTGATTTAAGCAAGCCTGGCTCTGCTGATGAGACGCTGCGTGTCGAAACCGGTCCAGAGTTCTGCTTGTGTTAAAACACATTCCTGCGGAGGGAGCTGGTAGGAACGTTGGGTTGCTCGGTCAATGGCCAGGGCCAACGGCGGCGTGGTGTATTCCGAAAATATGCCCGACTGTGAGGGCGGGCACAAGCCGGCATGAGTAGGTTAAACGTTGAGTTTTATAAGGGCACCACGGGGTGACCAGCCCCTCCCCACCCAGCCCCACCCTCCCCACCCACCCAGCCCCTCCCCACCCTCCCCACCCAGCCCCACCAGCCCCTCCCCACCCTCCCCTCCCTACCCAGCCTCTCCCTGCACGACGGACGGACGGACACAATAATCCCGTGGGCTGGTGTAACCAGGAGGTTCCTACCAGTAAAACTAAATCACCCTCCCAGAAGGTCCGTGCGGCCGATGGGATGTGTCAAAAAAATACTTTGATATTTCGATGTGGAAGGACAGACACGGTGAAAAGGGCATACCGAGTTGTCTGCTTATTTATTTTGTAGTCGAGCGATTATAGAGGTGGGGGGGGGGGGGTGCGGATTAATGCGAGCGGCGCATTTCCTCAAGCCTCCCAACTCACGTGGCAGCAACAGCAGCAGCAGCAGCGTCCTTCCTGATCACGGCGCACGGGGGGCAGCCAGATTCTCGTAAGCGCCTTAATGGGAGCGGATGCTCACTTACTGCGCTGGCTTTACTACCCGGCTCGTCACTGACACGGCGGCCGTGCCTACCACCGCTCGGGGCAAAGTGGCGCGCACCTTGCACAACCGCCGCTTATTCAGATTCAACAACGAGGCTTGGTGGGGGGGAGGCAGGCGACGTATTATCTAAGCTCCTTTTCAAAGTAAGAGGCTCAGTTGATGCGCTGGCTTTACCTGGCGTGTTGAATACATTGACAAAAA